ATTTCATAATTCTACCATAGCTAATTGGGAAAGTGGCAAACAAGAGGATACTGATTAAGATTGTTTGAGGATAAGTAAAAATAAAAATGGAAATAGCAATTATTCTTTTTTTTATATAAGATTATTCAGTGAAAAATGAAATGCATATACATTTTCAAGTCAAATATTTGCATTTTTTTTTTTTCTATAGGTACACGGGAGCGGAAAGAAAATGTGGGAGTTGTTCGAACTCAGCTCAACCATATAAATGCACGCGAGCATACTGTCAGGCTAAAATTGATTTCCGTCAAAGGTGAAATTAGAGAGTTGTTCGGTGGTGGCAGCTGCCTCCTCTAATTTTTTTTTTTGTTTTGAAATTTACCTTATAAAATATAGAAAATTTTACCTTTTACCTATAAAATAGTAATTGTTTTCAATATAGCCACCTTTAAATTTTTTTTTTTTAAATATTCATCCCCTCTAATTATTTTTTCTGATTCCCATATTTCTTTATGGAAATGGAAAGTGAATAGAGGATGGTTATGGATGGTCTCAACATCTTATTTGAGTACGTTGAGGCTTATGCCTGGCAAACTCAATTAGGGCCTAAATTGAAACTTTTCCATACATGTACAAATACACACGTACAATTCTAATGAGATGCCACGTGCCAGATTCCATAGAACTTTTGCTTTCTTTCTTTCTTCTTTTCCTACAAAATTGAATGGGTGTTGATTTATCTTGGCTTAATATGTTGTTTAGCTTAATAAAAATCAAATCAGAGTGAAATTGCGATAAAATTTAAAGTTGAGAGTGAAACAATATAATAAGCCATTTATCTTTAACATGCATTATTCAATGAAATATATTTTTATTTTAGAAGATGCAAATATTAATGAGAAATAGAATATACGAGAGAAAATATATCAATTTGTACATGCATACTCATGAATTTTATATGATCCTATAATTTCTATATAGCTTTGATACATTGACCATTGGATTAAAAAAAAATATTCATATATTCATACTTGTTAAATTTCAATTCAATTGGATAGCAAAATGTATTTCATATACAATAGAAAAATTCTATTCACATATAAATTGTTCTTTTATTATTATAACTTGCTAGTGTATATAATTTCCATTAAAAAAAATAAATTCAATGATACCTATTTATAAATAATTAGTTATAAAAAAATCATGTACATGGTGGTGCTTGCGAGCTAATTGTTCCTTAAAATAATAAATGAAATTTTATTTTGAAAATATTAAACTTATTTTAGTGGTTAGTCCAAAGATAAAATATTATATAAGTCATCATTTATGCACGACTAAATATTTATATTTTCAGATAACCTTCAAGATCAGATATACGAAACTTGAGGTATAGTCACTGCATGGAGGACTTCATTAAATATCATCTCGGCCTGAGCATCGATGATATAGAATAATAAACACTTTATATAAAATATTTATATAAAATAGTTTTTAAGTAAACTTAAAAAAAAAAAGATGAGCTTTTAAATAAACCTATTAATTATATTTTTTTATTAGAATTCATCCCTAATAATGCAACTCCTAGATTGATTTATCCCTGCGACAAATAATGTGTCAGGTCCGACTTCGACTTCAACCACCATATTCATCCTATATTGAAATATTTAATTAGTAAGATCCGCACGGTTTTATTCCGCATAATTGAAATGAGAAACTTTTTAGAAAGTCACTCGTTCTAGAATTTCTTTTAAGCGAGTAAATTTAACCTTAAGTTTTTTCAACTCTTTATATCATTCCATAAAAAAATAATTCTGCTAATTAATTTTCCTTTTTCGAAATATAATCCGATTTATTTATGTGTGACATTCCACTGTCCTAATTAACCTATCATTTTAGAAATAATCATGAATTTTACTTGATCCGCTCTCTTAATACCACTTTACTGAGTGGTGACGTCAGACAAGGCACGAAGATAATGATCACATTGAAATAGAGATAAATATCACAACTTATCAACATAAAAATAGTGGAGAACACGATAGGACTTCTTAAAGGTAAAGTGTATATATATATATAATATAATGGTATATGGAAATCTGATATGGTTCCAATAATAATGTTTACAATGAAAAAAAACTAAGCAACAACTTCGTCTTCCACAAGTAGGAAATTTTTAGGACATGAAAGGACTTCTTAAAGGTGAAAGCACTAGCAATATAACTATCAAAATGGAAACAAGCTGATCGTAGGGGAAGAAAAACAGAAGGAAAGGTTGTTTTTTTTTTTTTTTTTTTTTTTTTTTTTTTTTGTTTTTTTTTTTTTTTTTTTTTTTTTTTTTTTTTTTTTTTGGTTAGTGTTTGAGGGGATGGACGCTACTAACTAGTCACTGTAAACCCTAATTCAAGGGCACACGTGTTTCAAAATCAGATCTCCTGACCACAAAAGATTTTGGACCCCCTAATCCATACATTTTTGCTACGTGGAGAAATTATATTACAAAAGAGTCCCTAATGTTTATTTTATTGACATAATAAATTTTTGTTTACCCTAATTATTTTTATTTTTTTACTTTTTACAATTGCACTCCATTTCAAAGAAAATAATTATTTTATTGCTAACTTATAGTTTTAATTGACAATAAAATGAGTGAACTCGCTAAAAATGCATAATTGATTTGTTATTTATTTTGTGTGAAGTTTGAAAACATAATAATTAACTCGAATAGTTCACAAGCTTAATCAAACATTTACAATGTATATGTTTATAGATATATTTTATTTTATCTTCTCAAAAAGATATATTTTATTGTACATGTAGTATTTTAAATGATAATTTACTAAGCTTAATCGATTTATTTTATTAGTTATAATAAATAAATAATTATTTTTTAATAGTAATTGGCCCTTGTCAAATATTGTATTGGAGTAGAACTCAAGTTTAATATTGTGTTTGATTATACCCATACCACATGAAATAAATAAATAAAAAATTAAAATTTTCTAATAAATATAATCTAAAAAATTAAGTTGGACAAAAATTACAATAATTTTGTATTAATTTCCGATTCTAATACTCAATAATTTTTTTTTTCAGATAAATTCTAATATTCATACTAATCAAACAACCTTTAAGGAATCACATTTTGATTTCAAACCAAACACTTTTATTCTGCTCAATTCCGATTCCAATTCTGATTCTTATTCCGGAATCTCAACTCTCAACCAAATTGGTCCTAAAGACTAAATTCAACTTCCTGCATTAATGAACTACTAGACAAATATTCAACCACTAAGTTATTAATCCAATAGTATGCATATACAAGAAATTCTTATTGTGGTTGTTTAGATTGATCTGCTTAAACTCAGTCTATGAGCCTCACTCTTAGATCAAATTAATTAGAAATGCCTCATTATTAGATCAAATTGATTAAAAATATATATATAATATATATATAATATATATATATATATATTTGAAATAAGGTGTTTCTATATATATATTTTTGAAATAAGAGTGTTTCTAACCATTCATTGGAAAAGAAAAAGAAAAAGACAAATAGGAACAAAAGCCAATCTAGGCTGAGTCATTTACTTTTTTATATGTGAAATGCTTTTTACTTCTTTTTATTTATCTCCTTCCTACAAACCAATTTGAAGGGTTCAGTTGAAGCTTCCAAGCCAAGTTGTAGCCCAATCCACTACAAAGTAATGGATACAAAGTGCCAGGGCTTGCCTGAAACAAAAGAGAGAGCCTATATGCCAGAAATTGATCAATGCTTCTGTTTGCTCACCAATGCCTGAAATAAGAGTTCCAAAGATCTCAGCAGGTAAACTATTGGTATATTACAATTTACTGCCAATTATTCCCAATATTATACTAAGGGCCAAAGTTAGATCTATAGAAAACTTTATTGCAAGTAACTTAAATATATTAGACTAAGGGTATGTTCCGCAAAATTAACTATTTCGGTAGCTTAGCTATTTAAGTAATTTTTCATAAAACGCTAAAAGCTAAACATTTCATAGGTTACATGGGTTAACTTTTTTTATAAACTACTAATTCGACCTCTAAAAGCTAGTTATGTGTTCAAACGTTATGTTATCGAACACTATAAAAGAAAGACGTTGGTCAAAATGCTAAAAGCTACTTAAAAAAGCCATTGCCAACATAGCCTAACAAGATTACTCAAAAGTCATAATTCAAAATCTGTTACTAGCAATTACAATGCTAAAACAGATTCTGAAGTTACAATTTTCTAAAGCAAGTATCGAAGCATAGCACATATTTTCTTAGGCCTCAAGGATGCAGTATTTCCAAACAAGTCTCCACTGATTTTCTTCCAGCCACATTCATAGCACACCAAACTGGAGCTTTTTGGACTTCCAGCTGCCCATTACAAAAATCTATACAGGACATTTCAAAAGACCATCCAGAATTGGACATTTCTTTTAATTGCTAAGTAGATTAAAGCAATTTTTATGGAACCTCTATCAAAATTCAAAAAGCAACTTTTCTACCATTTTCAAGTTTAATTGCTAAGTAGATTAGAGCAATTTTTATGCAACAAACAAAGACTACATGTACTAACACACATCAATTTGTACCTATCACTCGATTGGTATTGAACTTCTCATGCCACCAGCTTATTCATGTTCCTTAATTAATTCATAATATCCAAGAACCTCAAATTCAAAATCGAAATGCCAACTTCACCATGCAAATACTGATTCTTCAGCTAACAACCAATGACAATTCCAAACCATTTCTAACAGTACTGTTATTTCACATAAGGAATTTATTTGAAACATGCAACAAAATATAAGCCAATATCGGCACTATACATAATAAACAGGATTCAATCCAACGCCTACTTTCTTCCACAATTCTTGACCTTCCCAAGCAGACTTCCAATTCTATCCCTTTGTACGAGTTCTGTACTTCAAAAACAAATAAATATACAATGAATAATAGGGAAACAAAGATACGACATCACCAAATTGATGCCTAAAAACAATTTGTACTTTTATATAATCATTTTCTATTATTTGGCAACAGTAAAAAATTTAAAGCAACATTATGAATAGAATCTTGACCACAATGGCATCAACCTTCTCTTAGATTCCTAAGAAAACCCTGTAGAAGAGCAACTCAATATAAAGGCTCAAGCATGCAGATTCACAGAATGGGCTTTAATATCTTGTCTTTTCATGCAGAAGTGAATTGTCCTTGAAATATGGAGAAGCATGAACTGGCGTCTTCTATGCGCTAAAATGCAAGTATAAATAATAGGAGATGCAAGAGATTCAGCTTTATAGCTTTTGGTCAAAGGAACTCCAATAGGAACAATTTCATCTGAAAAATCAAATTTATAATAACAAAATTGGGGTTTAACATCTCTGGTATATAATTAAAAAAAAAAGATCAGTTTTATTCAAAATGAACTATTTTAACAATTTGAACGGCAAACAAGCAAGCGTTATTCACATCAGGAGATGACATCCCTAAGAAAGATATACTTTAGCTCAGCTGCATAAGGTACAAATGACTCAATGTCAACTTTCATTCTAAACGGACTTTTGTATAGATATAAGCAATTCTTTTAAGTGGACAATACTCCTAAAGCAGAGGTCACAGATACCTGAATTTATCAGGAGCCAAGGCCTCAAAATGGAACCAAATGCACATGATGGGAAGGAGGTTTAGTAGAGATCTCAGAGATGGCAAAAACACATTTATAATTTGAATATCGAATATGAAGATCACAATAATGAAAGATCCTATGGCTTTAAAACATGAAACAAAAAGACCTCATAAGACTATCTTCAAGATTTGAACAATTATCCCTGCTCAAGAACATTCTAAAACTTGTTTCTCAAATGGTTTAAACAATATACCAAAGCATATGAAATGTTGGAGGGGATAAAAGTACAACTTGACAGTTAAAATGTTAAATGGATAATCAAGATTTTTTTAGAAAAAAAGAAAAGGAAGATAATTCCTTACATATATTTACCCAAACCGTATGAGTATGGCACTTGAATAAATAAAATAGAGCAGCAAACCCGTTATCTTAAGAGTTTTACCTACATCTCTATCTATTTGTTAATTTGCTAGTAAAACACCAAAGGCAGTGGGCGATAGCTGCACCCCTGACACAGCATCTTTCTTTAATGTAATTTACATCAACCTAAAGCAAATCTTTGTAATTATTTTTATTATAACCAGTACATGCTACTTGGCATATATTGCAATACATGTTATATAGATAATCATATCTTGTTCCCACTAAGAAATCCAAAAGAAGCCTACACCCATAGCACCAGATCTTAGATGAGAACATTTTGGTTTCCTGTTCTCATTCTTGTCTACAGTAATCTGTACTCTAGGTAACCTCTGCAGAAAATGTGAGGTAGAAAATGTGGTGGAGAATTGATCTACAACAACAAGGACAGACTTAGAGGCTCAAATACTTTAAAAGAGGATTAAAATTTCACGTACTTTGGTTCCATTAATTCTATTAAAATATAATTCAGAAGTTTTATTCTGCCATTTGTATGCCAGTTAATGATAACTACAACAGTAATTGAAGCTTACTAGCTTGACCATATGCTAATTGTAATGTTATTGCTGCTTAAAACATTCTCCAGAGAAGAACAACGTAAAGTAACACCGACTCACACAAGAAAAAACACACAATATCTGATTTATGACCAACTTGTACAGCTTTGAATTAATAAAAAGTAAAGCCTCATTTCTCCTATAATCTAAAAAAATCCGTTAAATTCATAATCTAACCTTTTTGAATTCTTATCATGATATAACAGTTGAAGGCTGCAACTTTTTAGGTGGTGGGTTTCCTCCAGAGATCACCACATATGAATAGAAGCACAGCATTGCAGCACTGAAATTAACAAAATAAAAGTTATATTAAGTCTGAGTAAAGACTCGATGATTTTGATGATTAGGAAGTATTGAATACCACCACATAAAAGTACCTGATGACAGCATAAAATCCAGTTGGTATTAACTTCTTTGTCTGTATTCACACAGCATTATAAAGTTCAAATTATATATATATATATATAAAAAGAGTCGGTCAATAAGATAACAATGTAGATAACAATATATATCTTGATGTGGTTACTAACCAATGAATATGCCTGAAAGTTCTTCCAAGAAAGGGCTGCTGAGAGTACTGGAAGATATGGAAAAGAAACAAGGTAAACAAGTAATACTAACTCAAATGGATGGAGATGGTTATCACCGTACAAAATTACAAAATAGCATATCATATCAAAGTGTGTCAAATTTTTTAAGTCTCAGAACAAGTAAATGATGTTGGGACGATATAAGCCCCTGCCTTAGTATTAATTTGCATACTCTACATGGTAATGCAGACAACTGACAATACACAGAATTGAAATTGCAAATAAATTTGAGTACTTGTGATACAATGATCATGGCCCGGCCAAATTGCTAACAAAAACAAACTGCATATTCCAGGTTATTGACAATCTACCTTCAAATCTCACCAAATGTTACATCTTTGCGGGGAAACAGGAGTGCAACAGAAATCGTAGAGGAAAAATTTTACTAAGTCTATTTTGTCCTTGATTATACAAGGGCACAAATCTTACACTGGATATTAGAAAATAATCCAACAAAAGAAATTTCTTGGATACATCATTCTATGTATATGTCAACCAAAACTGTAAAGTCTAACGTTGTTCAATCTTAAGGGAATATGACATTATCACATTGATCATAAACTTCCATTAGGTTTGTTTGTCAATTTATTCATCAGGGAAAACCGGAAAAAAAATATTAATCCATTCCAAATTCTCATTAACTCTCCCTCTCCCCCTAGTGGGCCATTACAAAAATAATAGGTTCATGCAGTGAATGTGATATGCCGTGGATACCTTTTAAGGTACATTACAATGAGTCATGATCTCCTACAATTATGCTTCCCTAGGTCTTTCTTTTATTGTAACGATGATATGAAAGAAATGTGGATCAGCCAAGAAATCAAACAAAAGAACTTTTCAAAGGCTCAGAAGCCATGCAGAATTGAAGTCCAATTTTAAGATGCATTATATATTTCTCATACTGCACTTTTGCTTTAATAAATAAATAAATATAGGTGAAAATTTAATTACCAGCTTGTCCTAGTACAAATGGCACACTGGACTTTCCTTGCCTCCAGATCTTTAAGCTAAAGACACTAAGGGCTAGCAAGCCACCTCCAAATAGAACACCAGTGCTCAGGGTTGTAGGATTTCTAGAAAATATGAAACCAAGGAGACCCCCACTAACAACAAGACCACCTGTGTCAGAAGGCCATTTGAAAATTTGCATCAGTAAGTTCCACCATGTTATTTGCATATCAATTTTATTCTAAACTAGCAAAATCAGAAGCTAGTATGACAAACAAATAGAAAATAGAAAATGTCATATACTATGACAATATCATTATATTTCACTTTCACAAAAAGAATTGATCTTATCCAATGGATTCAGGTATAAAACCAAGCTGTTTAAGGGAATCAACTTCAAACCCCACACCACAGTTCTTTAGTTTTCAATCTTTGCATTTAATTATTGAACCACTGCCTGCTTGTCATAAAATCGAGCTTGATTGATATTCTTCCATTCAATTAAAGCTTGACTCACATATGCAAATTGTTATTATACAAAATGTTTGAGGTAAGGGTTGGGTTGATTTGTCGAGGTAGACAACCTTCACCAAAAAGTCTGGACCAACTATAGATCAAGGAAAATTGTTGATAACAAGAAATTGAGTCCTTCCTTCATGCACAAAGTAATTTTTGATAAATGGAGAAAAGCAGCAAAAAGGACAGAGTCTTCTACACTGCTAAAGATTTTTTATTACCTATAAATCTTTACAGCATTCTATGAAAAGCAAAGCATGCAAGTACACACAAGCACCCGCATAGAACAGTAGAAGAGAGATAACAATAACGACTAAGCCTTAATTCTAAACTAGTTGGGATATGCTATATGCATCCTTTGTTTCCATATTCATTCTATTCAATTAAGCAATTAAAGCAAAGTATAAAATTGGAAAAATTTTGAAATAATTGAAAAATTTTAGAAAAGAAAAAAAAGAGAGAGAGAGAGAGAGAGAATCTTCTTATGATGTTCACTCCTTGAATTCTACAAGATCAAACAATATTCTAAATTGGGAGATAAAAGCAGAACTATAAACAAAAAATGGTTTAAATGTTTTAAAGATGGACATCATTCTATATTTTTCACAATTATACAACTTTCGCAAAAGAAAAGGGCCAATGCTCTTTTTTTTTCTAAAGAAATCTTCATCAAGACAAGGATGTCCACAACATCTATAGCTTTAAATCATTTATATCACATGCAAATGAGTAGCTTCAACCTCCTGACAGTCTTCAAAGACAACATTCCATAATGCAATGAGAATCCAATAGGCAGAAGTTTTAGCATCTCAGAAAACTTCCCATAAAAATTTTTAGGAATTACCAAAAATCTAATTTAAAAAATCATGCATCCAATAAACATGCAGTACAATGTTTTCAAGCCTATTATTAAAGGCTAGGGGAATGGTGAAAGAAGGAACCTAGCCTTTAAGACGATCAACTGAATGTACATCAATCTTATGAAAACCAGAAAATAAACACTAAAAACATCAATTCGTATAGTAACTTAGTTCCAATCACTCACCATAAGGAATCCCAAAACAGAAATCATGGATTTTCGCTTTGCCATACGCCTTAACTTGATTACTAATTTCCTCTTCTTCCTGGTTATGTTTCTCTGCAGTAGGATAGAGCTTTGCTGGCTCTTCCACGTATGGTTTCGATTCATCAGCCGTATAACTAAGCCTAGTATTAGAAGTATCTGTACCTCTTGCTCCTTCAAGACTCATAAGGAGCGATAGCTACACAATTCAAGCCAATGGTCACTACAGCATTATTTATAGGATCCCGTTTCCTATCGAATTACAGGTCAAATACCATTTTCTAGCGAATTGAAAGCGAAAATTGAGCAAGGAATTTTCAGGTTCGAAATTTTACCTTGGAGCGAGTAGGAGATGGAAATGGGCAGAGAATGGGTCGACGATGGAGGTGCAATTTGCGGCTGAATGAAGATTTGCACGAGAGCTGAGAAACTGCTGGTGCTGATGTTGCCATGATTGGATTGGATTAGTCGATTAAGATCAGGGATACAGGAAGTGGATCACAGCATCCAGACTGCGGCCTGGTGTTTTTGCGTCAGCGACTTTTAGAGCAGGTTTTAAGCGGACCGTGGTCGACGCATTGAATTGACCGGTGCTGCTGAGTTTTACATAGTTGGGTTTTTCTTTTTAATATTAGGCAAAACATGTATATTATATATATGCACACGTTATGAGATCGTATGTACACTTATCTATACACGTACAATTTCCATACTCAAAAATAGCTTTAAAAACAGAAACATCTTAAACATGGTTTTGTAAAAATTGGAAATGCATAAAGTCTTAAACTCAAGGAAGCTGGACTTTCTATCGATTCTCATCTATGTCTACAATGGATTAAGGCAATGGTATATTTTATTTTGTTCGCATTTAAGTATGGGATTTTTGAATATTTGTTTGACTACATACTTGAAAATTTATGACAAATTTAGCTATACTTGAATAACTTCTCTTTCAAAGCCTTTTTTTTTTTTTGTTCATCTCAAACCTTCTATCATGTGCAATTAGTCTTTTTTTTTTTTTTTGGTTTATCTCAAACCTTCTATCATGTGCAATTAGTCACATATGCGTTTAAGGCTTCAACGAGCAATGGAGATCGTGACGGCACTGAGTTAGCAAAGGAAGGTGGTCCGAGGATTCGAGCCATCAATGAGATATTACTCTAAAAGAGTTAGAATTCTGAACTTATATCAGGACGAATGAGTTAAGGGATAATCTTAAATAGACAGTTTTTATTCGCCATAGACCTCCCAAAAGATAAAGGAGACGTGCAAAGGTTTTCTTGGGTCGGTAGCGGAGGTATACAAAGGCTTCCTCGGGCCAAAAGGAGATTGGCCTCGAGTGCAAAGCAAAAGAAAGATTGACTGCAAGACCCACCCATCAAGCAAGGATGAAAATTGGTCTTAGTGATCCAACAATGCCAAGTGGAAGGGTTGTCACGCAATGGTCATCTCTAAAAAAACTTAAGTCACATTCAACTCTAAACCGTGGTTTGATTCTTACTCGATTTTGGTTCAAAATAAATTGATGGTCATACCTATACTTATTACTTCCTCGAATTTTCTCTAGCTATGCATGCAAACAAAAGTCTTCCCTTGCACTCTATTCTTGTTCATCACCCAGTTATCTCCTTAAAACTTCCCTTAATTTCATTTAAATTGTACTCTATTCGCATAATTTATCCATTTCATTTAAAATTTCACTTCTTAATATTTTCAATATCTAAGTTTTTTTTTTAAAAATCTCATATCTAATGCCATGTGTCATTCGCATATGCATCTAAGACCAAGAAAATTAGACCTCTCATCGATTCTCATCAATCCCTAACGTGGCTTAAGCCAATGTTTTTACTACGAGTGACTTTATCATGTTCGCATTTAAGCATGAGAGTTTCAATGTTTGATTGGCTACATGCTTGAAAATTTATGAGAATTTTGCTAGACTTTAATATTTTCTATTATCTCTCAATTGTCTATGTACTTTTCACATCTACGTCTAAGGCTTATGAGGGCAACGGAGATGTTGACGACATTTAGTTAGTAAAGAAACCTAGATCTCCCTAATTCTTATCCATCTCCAAAAGTGGCTTATATGTCCCATTCATCTCTAAAATGCAGTTTGTGTTAGGATTATAACTTATCCCGAGTGGGGTCCGTGGAAAAATACCGGTGGTAAAAGTAAAATAAATTGACTATTACCACATATACCTCCAATAATTATGCATTGGATATTGACGATCGAATCCACCAGAAATAATAACCACGGTAAAAAATTAAATAATTACTGTAAATGCCAGATGAAAAATAAGAACACCGATGAAAAATAAGAACACCGAGGATTTACGTGGTTTCACCCTTCCAACTCGTTATGGCCACATCCACGGGAACAAAACTCCGAATAATTACTTCTACTTAAAATAAATAAAGTACAAAAGAGATTACAAAAGAGTGGCAACTCTAAGTTTTCCCAAAAACACCCAAAATTGAGCAATCCCCTCACTATTTTCTTTTCCCCAATTTTAAGAACCCTTTCCCTAAAATTATATCTTTTCTTTGGTTTGTTTTTTTCGTCTGGTTAAGAGATCCCTCTCCTTTTATGGGAAGGTTGAGAGAGAGAGTGTGCCATTACCAATGCACCAGGCACACTCGCTTTGTGTCGAAATGCATATGCCAACCTGTGGCAATGTTGGCTGCCGACCTTTGAAAAAAGATCAAACAAAATACGTTTTTTCTTTTGTTGTCTCCTTTTTTTTGCTCTTTTCAAACTTGTATGGTCACATGTGGAGGACCCCAAACACTTCTCCCTCTCCCGACTACAGTGGTGGACTCTCCAATCCATGCTGCTTTGACAGCATAGCATCGGAACTTCTCCTTGGAACGATCCTTGCCATATATGCAGCATTCTGTCAGTTGTGATTTCGCATCTGAACTGCTTTCTTCAAGTGGGCAAGTCTAACCAATATAATCTATATCAATGTGCTTGCGTGTCGTGAATGATACAATATTTTTGCCAGTCTATGCAACTTGACGTATCACAATAACTATTATTCCTTCCTGTGCACACCCAATTCTCCTGAAGAAGTCTCTAAACCAAAGCATTGCCTTTCCTGCTTCCGTTGCGGCTACAACTTACTATGCTTCAGTCGTGAGAATGAACACATTTCATGCATCTTGACTGCCATTGAAATAGGCCCCCTGAGAATGAAATAGTATCGCTGATGTTAGATTCTTATTCATCAGATCACCGGCCATATCTGCATCTTATAACCAACTAGTGCACCGTGTTGCACCTCCAAAAGTTAAAACATAGCGTGAAGTTCTCTCAGGTATGTCTGAAATCCACTTTACTGCTCCCAATGTTCATTCTGGGGATTTACAGAAATCGGATACGAACCCAACTGCGGATGACGTATCTGGTCTTGTAACACATCACTTGCGTACATTAAACTTCTGAGCTGAAGAATATGGAACATTTGACAGTATCTCCTGTTTCTTTTCTCTATTGATGGGTAGGATCTCTATTTGAAGTGAGCGGCAAGCGGAGTGCTAACTGGTTTGGCATTCTTCATATTGAACCTCTCTAGAACTCGTTCAATATATTTTTCCTGTGATAACCATAACTTGCAGGACTTTCTATCTCGAATAATTTCCATTTCGAGAATTTGTCTTGCCGATCCCAAATCCTTCATGTCAAATGCTTTTGACAAATCACTCTTTAACCTGCTAATTATGTCTGCATCGGGGGTCTAATCCATTCATTGTATACCATCTCTGGTTCTATTGTTTTCTAGATAATTTTCTCTCTCTTTAAAACTTTAAGTATTCAAGTTGAACATATACACAAGGATTTGCATCTGTCCTTTTGTAGCCTTGATTCACCATGAAAGAATCAAACTTTTTATACCATTGTCGCGGCGCTTGTTTCAACTCGTTCAAGCTCTTCTTCAAGCGATAAACCATGTCCTCTTTTCCCTTGACCTTGAAACTTTCTGGTTGTTCCATATAGATTTTTTCCTCTAGATCCCCATGCAAGAATGCGGTCTTTACTTCAAGCTGCTCCAACTTAAGATTCAAACTGGCTACTAGACCTAGCACCACTCGAATTGAACTCATTTTCACAACTGGTAAAAAAATCTCATCAAAGTCAATACCTTTCTTTTGATTAAAGCCTTTGACGACCAATCGAGCTTTGTATCTCACTAGGTTGCCATCATCTTTCTTCAGCTTGTACACCCATTTGTTCTTAAGTGTTCTCTTCCCTTTTTGGAGTTTCACCAGCTCATACGTGTCATTCTTTTTCAAAGAATTCATCTCCTCTTGCATGGCCTTTGTCCAGCAATCTTTGTCTTTGCAAGATTGCACATTGGCTCCCCCTCATCAGTTAATCAAAATGTAATCAGAAACTAGAGGTATCCTTGTAGATGGATGTGTTCGTTGGGTGTTTCTTCTGTTCCTTCTAACAGCAGTTCAACTTCTATCTGGTGTATGGCTTCTCTAGCTCCCCGGTCAACACCCTCTGCATGCGATGTATCATCTACAAGTTGGCTCTTGATCGCCCTACGAACTGGCGTCTTCTTCTTCTGTCTTGTTACTTGATTTTCTAGACATTTCCTCCTGTGGCATCATCTGTAGGAATGTTCCTGGTGTAATATCAATAACACCACACTTGTGGATTCTTCACAAGTTGTATCTGCCAGATCTCTTCTCATGGAATCACGTACGTGCTCGCCCGGGAGGGTGCCACACCTGTAGCCAAACTCTTCGGTCTCCATAACCAAACAAAAGGCAAGGACTGAACTTGTCATCCGAAGATTTAATTCTCTGCTCCTTTTTGAAACACATGCAAAATGTTTGCAGCCAACAACCCTCAGTGCAGAGTATGAGTATTTCTACCTCTCCAGACTCTGTCTCCGGGATATCAAAATTCCAATGGGCTGAATAATCATTGAGTTAGGAGACAGCCAAAGTACTTGACAGCTTCTCCCCAAAAATAGCTTAGGTAAGTTGGCCATGTTGAGCATGGATCTGACTCTTCTCAATTTAATGGGTGCGATTTCATCCTTCAGCAACGCCGTTCGTGTTGACGTACCAGGACGTCTTTTCCATAGCCTGGATACCGTGCTGACTACAAGTAATCTCTAAAATCTTAGAGATATACTCACACCATTATCCTGCGCAAACACTTCAATGCCACTCCATTCTCCTTTTCCATCATAGACATGGAATTGCTGAAAGTGCTTGAATAACTTGTCTTTTGGCGCAACAATATATCCCATGTCTTCCGTGAAGAAATCATCAAATGAATAAGAAAAGACCTACTCTCCAAGTGTTCTACCTCCATGGACCACATACGTCAGAGTGTACAACCTCCAACTTATTGAGTCTCTCCTGTCTAGAGCTTTTAAGAAATGTAGACACGAGTTGTTTGCTTCCCAAAAACAATAATCAAAGGGGTTATATTTTACCTTTGCTAATGAATAGGGGACTCTTTTAGCCAACATATTTCAACCCATCCACTTAACGTTGCCAGCCGCCTATTCCCACAATATTGGTAGATCATTCTTCAACGTATTCATTTGACCGCGCCCAACAAATTTGCGTGCGTTTTAATACAAGCGGCAACATAATTTTCCTCTTGCCACCACAAAGCCTTTGTGAGTTTCCAATTACCGCCACCCTGTATGATGGTGAAGCCTTCCTTGTCCAGTGCTCACAGATAACAGTCAACCGAAGTGGGAATATGTCGGCACATTTTTTAAAGTGTTAATGTTGACCCGACACTTGTCTTTAGTGAGGATATCCACCGATTCCCAACGAACTGCGGAGACACTATATTCCCCCATTTTAATAGTGCCAAAACAGCTCTCCTGGCTTTATAATGGGAAAAAGTTTCCCTTTTTGGAACACATGTATGAAGCACCGGAGTCTTACTATCCACTCGGTATTGCACTCCAAACATGACAACAATCTGCATCAGAGTGACTAAAGTCAGCCTTCACCATTTTCTCCTAAGACTGTACGCAGATGTATTATGTCATTCTCTGTCTTCGGCTGCATTATCCTGGTTGAGGTAAACGATAAATTTCTTTGAACTGACCCTCTTTACCGCTAATGGTAACATTTTCTCATCTCTCGACTTGGATCTCCACCTGACTTTACATGCCTTTGGACCCTACTCTTGCTCCGGCCCACTATCCATTGAACAAGGGCTTGAGAACTGGGTACTGGGCAACGATCTCTCTTCGAATCCTCATTAATAGTCTATTTCTACATGAGGACTCATTACCACACCTTTGGACTGAGCTTACTCAAGCAAACACACAAGAGTATCCCAGCTATCCGTTAGAATCCCAACAAGAGCATGCTGGGCATCTCGTCTTCTAAGGGACGTCTTCTAAGGACATACCGCTAACTGCTAACTCAGTTACGAGTCCTTCAAAATCGTTCAGGTGTTGTGTAATTGATCGTTCCTCTGACAACTTCAAGTTCATGACTTTACTCATCATGAAGACTTTTCCTTGAGCATTCGTAGCCTCGTACATATTGTCTAATTTCTTCTAGAGAACTTGGGGATATTTTTCATTTCTCACGTGATTGTACAAGCTAGCATGTATCTATTGGCGTATTGTACCCAATGTCTGCTTTTTTAATTTCTCCCACTGCCTTTGTTTCATTTCTTCTGGCTTTGCACTGTCACCTTCAATTGTACGAATCTTTGAAATTGAGGTAAGTCCTCCAGGTACTGGATTTCCACAATTGAATAGTTCGAACCGCATTTGATCATGGCCCCGTCTGTTAGGCCATGTTGAATTCTGAACTGAACAAAATTCTACTATTCCACGAAATTCAATTCATGTGAAGAGGTAAACTCTTGACAGAATATTACCAACCAAAAGGCTTTCGTAGATCACCAGTATGGATTTATAACTTATCCCGAGTGGATCCGCAGGAAAAAAATACCTGGTAAAAGTTAAAAAATGGGACGATACCACATATACCTCCAATAATTACGTATTGGATATTGACGAGCAATCCACCAGAAAGAAAATCACGGTAAAAAAATTAAATAATTACGTAAATGTCAGATGAAAAAATAAAAGCACCGAGATTTACGTGGTTCAACCTTAAACTGTTATGGGCTACATCCACGGAACACAGAAACGACGAAAAATTCTTCTAGTAAAAATAGTAGGTACAAAAGAGATTACAATCAATCAGTGGCACTCATAAGTGTTTCCCAAAATACCATAAAAACAATCCTCACCTATTTTCATCTCTTTTCCAATTTTTAGGAACGCCTTTCCTAAAATTATAAATCGTTTTTTTTTTGTTTTGTACGTCTGTTAAGGATGAATCCTTCTCCTATTTATAGTAGAAGTTCGAGAGAAAAGCCGTCCATTCACCAACGCACGACATCCTTCTGTCAAATGGCATCGCCAAACGACACTCCTTTGTCAAATGGCATGCCAATCTTTCAATGGTTAGCTGCCAATCTTTGAAAAATAAACAAAAACGTGTTTTTTTTTCTTCCTTTTTATTTCTTTTCAAACTTGTATGGGTCCCATATGTTGGAGGGACCCCACAACAGTTTGGGTCTAGTCTAGTTTCGATGAAAGCAATCTAGTAGTCGTGCTTATACTTATCACTTTCTCTACTCTTCTTTAGTGATGCATGTAACTATAAGTTTTCCGTTTGTTTCTATTTGCCACAAGGTCATCACCCTAAAATTTCTATCCATTTCATTAAACTCATTTTTGCAAGGAAATTGATATAGTGTTATCAAAATTCATAACTTCATAAATACAATAGATCCATTGCAAAGTTGAGGGTGTCATAAACTTTTTTTTTCTATTAAAATATAAAAATAAATTTATGCATTTGGCTATAAAAAATGTTAAAACATTGCAACTGCATCCGATTGTACTTTAAATAGGTTCGATGTGTGTCACTTACCTTGAATCCACTGACAGGTACAAGTGGATTGAGTGACAATATTTTAATATTTTTCTTTTCAAATCTCGTTTTTTGATTATAATGAGTCTACTTATGCTCTATACATTTGCATTTTCCTTGAATTCTTTTTGAATTCCTTAACAAAAACTACATTATTTTGGTAAATAGTTTCATAAAAATACATTATTTTGGTATTGCATTTTTCTCATTCCACTTTAAATATCGTTTTTTAGAATTTAAGTAAGAGTTTATTACATTTTTTCTATTGTCCCTTATTTATTGAATTACTAACAGAAAAAGTTGAGATTTGAGAAGGTAAAAGGGTATTAAGGTAACTTAAAATAAAAATTATATAGAATTAAAGTAAATTAATATATTTTTTGTTCTAAGCGAAGAAGTTGAAAGTTCACAGAATGAGCATAACAGAGAGAACATAAATTATGATCGTACTTATCTCAAGTATTTAATTTTGAATATTACATCTTTCTAGCTTTTAATCCCTGTTGTTTATACAATTGAAATACCTCCTCTGTCCTAAAATATTAGTCATTTTTAATTTATTATTTTGTCCCAAAATATAAATTATTTTGTGTATTTTAAGAAGTAACAAATGATGTTTTTTCAATGTTGTCTTTGTTTACATTAAATATAATAAATACTTCGTAAGCAACTATTGATTTTGAGATAAAGGATAATCTGGTCAAATTACTCATGAGTTTATTATAATCTAGGAGAATCAATTGCTTCTTTTTAATCCGAGGGAGTACTAATTAAGTATAATTTAATTAATTCACTAATAAGAAGTCATTGCAACTATTGATTTTCCGTTATTTGGGGCGCTCAGAAAAATAAATCAACTGAAAATATTTTTCTAATAAAAAAAAATTAATTAAGTTATTTTTTTAAGGAAAACAACTTTCTATTTTTTAGAGTGTAAAATATTTTCCGGACATTGACAAATATTATAAATTCATATTTTTTAATTTATTAATCATCATAATTACTACCACCAGTCACCATTTACCACCGGCTACCACCATCAGCCATCAACGGCCACCACCAACGGCTTTCATAATTTATATTTTTTTTTGCATTCTTTTCATATTGAACAATAAAATTTTTAAATTATAAAATTTCTATTATTATTAATATTTTTTATGTCTTATGAGAGACTTTAATATTTTTAACTAATTTTCAATATTACAACCAAACAACGGAAAATAAGTTATTCGGGAAACATATTTCAACAAAAATGTTTTCCATGAAAATATTTTTCAGCAAGTTATTTTATGAAAACGAATGGAACCTAAAAAGTAATTAGTTTTGAACCAATTAAACACAATAAGTATTGCTTAAGAATCAACGTATAATTCAGATTTAAAATTTAATTATGAAACACAATAATAGTTTTAGGATTTTTGGCCCTTATTTTCTAAATATTGATTTGATACGTATTTAGCTTAATTTTAGAAAAATAATTTCACAAATAGCAATTATTTTATATGTTTTAATTGATAGCATTATTTTGCAAAGTTGGAATTAGGGTGTCAAAATGAGTTGGTATGTTAGGCTCGACACGAATTCGCCTAACACGCGACAGGATTAAGGTTAAATACAAACATGACACGGAAATTAAAATGAAAAGCATAAACAAAACACGTGTAAATCATTTAATTAAATATATTATATATGAGTTTAAAAAATTAAACTAAATTTAATTAAATGTCATATATGGGTTAGAAACACGGTACGTACAACACGTATAACTCGCTTAATATAAATATTATATAAAAAATTACATTTTTATCCTTAAATAAAATGAGTTAGATGAGCCAATTCATAACACGATATGTTTAAGCTCGTGTCATATACATATCACATGTTCATGAAACAAACCTATTTAAACTCAACTCTAACTTATTTAATTTCCATGTTAAGTGAATCATGCTCTCGAGCCATGACTCATTTTGACACCTCTAGTTGAAGTGGGGGTGTAAATAAGCCTTGTTAGGCTCAAAGCTCAGCTCGAAAATCAATAAGCCTAAAAATTTTAGACTCGAACTCAACTTGAAACTTGAGTTCAACTCGAGGCTCGAGGTTCGAGACTCAAGTAAATCTAAAATAAAATAGTATCATATGTTTATATAAAAGTTCAACAAAGTTCTATAGGGCTTAACGAGTTTTTGAGCTGAATATCATTAAGCTCGAACTACAGACTCAGTTCGAGCTGAACTTTTTTCAACCCGAGTTCAAATAGCTCGCAAACCAGCTAGGCTCATTTACATCCCTGAGTTAAAATGTTGAATAAAATGATTTTATAAATTAAAATATTTAATATGTGTAATTTTATAAATTTAAATATCTAATAAATCAAAATAAAAATTGTGAAGGTAAATAAAAATTAAAATAATAATTTTTTAATTAAATTAAAATACCAAAGCTCACGAGTGTATCTATGGATTCTGTCGTTCAATCAATTGAGAAATAAAAAAATATAAATACAAGTAGCATTATGGACGGAAAAAGAAGGCCAAGTAAAACACCAAAAAATTAACGTTAAAAAGGTTTAAATTCCTAAATCTCTGGGCGACTTTCAAAATTCCATCGAGTTAAACGAGAAGGAATATGGTATAAAAGCCCTCTTTTTGAAGCTCCTCGCTCACTCAACTCCGCTCTCTCTTTCCTTCTGTTTCCGTGAAAACCAAGCAAAATCCTGAAGAAACCATCTAACAGAACAAAATATTCAACGCAAAACCTAAATAAAACCTAACTATTCCAAAGGAGAGAAAAAGAAAAACTTCAGTCCAATTTTAATCCAATCTCCGGCACCGTTTCTTCTTTATGTCGCCGGCGGCAGTGGATTTTCGGTCTCCGGTCACCTCTAAATCGCCTTCTCTTCAAAACCCTAGTTTTGCTCCTTTTTCTCCGAATATCTGCGCAGATGATCGACAAGAGAATACAAATTCCCCTATTTTTGGTGACATAAATGAATTCAATGGCCTCGGTTCAAGGAATGGCTTGCGAACGGGGTCGGCGGCGTCGGGCCGGACCCGTCCGAGGCTAGCGAAATTGAGAAAGCCGATGCATGGGAGGTCGAAAGGGGTACCAGGTGAGTTCGTGGGTCTTAACCCATTTCAATCAGTTAGTGAGAGTTCGCGTTGTGGTAATGATTATAATAGGAGTTCAAATGGTGTTTTAGAGAAATGTATGTCAAATGGGGTTGATTGTTCAAGTGATGGTTTTGTTTTTGGTGCTAGTAGTAGTAGTTCTAACTCGAATTTGAATACCTCTGTGAATTTGGATTCTCGTGAGAGAGCATCTGATGCGAATGTGGAAGAATTGGGTTCTAAAGATAAAAGTGAGGGCGAATCCGTTTCAGAACCAGAAAATGGCAAGCTTGATAATGCAGGTTTTATGTTTGGAGCTAAGCAGGGACACTTAAGTGAAAATGAAGGAAAACCAGTTTCAACCACAGAAAATGGGAAGCTTCTTAATGTAGGTTTTGTATTTGTTGCCAGTGAGAATAATGTGGAGACGACATCGGATATGGAAAATAGAGAATCAAGAGAGAATGGATTAGACTTAGATTCCCATAAAGCAGGGAAGGTGAGTTTAGGGACTGAAATTGGGCAAGGGAAGGACAGTCATGTGGGTTTTGAGTTCAGTGCTGATCAGAGCAATTTGGCTTCAAATTTGAATTTTGAGAAGGGAGAGTCTAATGGAAGTCCGGTAAAGCAAGATTTTAATGGGTTCATGTTTGGTGCCACTTACAATAATTCCAATGCAAATATGGGGATTTCTGGTGCTGGTTTTGTATTTGGTGCCAGTTGGTTTAAATTAAATGACAAGAAAGAATATGAAGGTTGGAAAATAAATCTAGAGAGTGAAACAGCCAATGAGTTGAAAGGTACTGCAGTGTCAGAAATTAATGGAACTAGGAGCTGGAAGGAGGATAATGATAAGATTCCCTACATATTTGGTAGTAACGGTAAAAAGGGCACCAGTGCAAGAGAATGCATGGCTAAGAACTTGCCTAATGAAGCAAAGTCAAGCAGTGAAACTTTTGAAAGCTGTCTCAGTACCCCAAAGGATGAAAACAGCAATATGAATTCTAGCATCAATTGTAAGTGTAACCCAGAATCTTTTCTCCACAGTAATAATGTAGCTAATGCTTCTGCTTCAAATCTTATATTTAATAATCTCTCCGATGAGATGAAAAGACTGAATATCAATGGTTTTGAGAATAATAAGAAGTTTGTATCTAGAAGCAATAACATGGCTTCTGCCTCTTCTAAGGACACTAATTCTCATGAATGGAATTCGGAAGGTTTTGCTAATACTGCTAAGGCCACTGATCACTTCGAATCAACTGATAAGAATGAAAGCATCAATGGAGATATTGCTTCCATTGGAACCTTTAGTTCTGCTGAGAGCCAGTCAATTCATGATAAACTGATTGGTGATACAGTCAATGAAGTTGCTGCACCATCTTTGTTCTCATCTATTGGCTTCGATTCCCGAGGCAACCTTGGGGTTTCTGAAGCTCCTCGTATGGTTTGGTTTGGAAAGGAAAATGATGACAATAGTTCTACAAACACTTCAGATGGATTGGGAGTGTTGTTTACAGACTTTGAAACACCAAAATGGGATCCTTCTTGTTTAAAAGCAAGTCTATTTCCTGAATTGAATAGAAAACTGGAATTCAGTGTAAAAGGTAGATCTAAAAAGGACAAAAAATCAAAGACAATGAGAGGGAAATTGAAGCAACTGTCTCAACATAAGCAACAAAAAGAGCAAAATCATGTGGGAAATGGAAGCAGTGCCCATGAGGCTTTAAACTCTCCTGGATGTTATTCACCAATGGATTTTTCTCCTTATGAGGAGACTACCACAGCTGAGAAATTTTCAAGGGAAACTTCCAGGACATTAAATGATTCCATCCACGTAGACAATAATGCAGTGCCTATTAGTCTTAAAAATAGAGAAGGATTAAATCTTGGAAAAGGTGATGAGACAAATCCAGAGATTTCTGTCTATCATTCTCAAAGATGTTTTGTTGATGAGTCTCCGGCAAAAGCATTTAATTTTGAAATGGCATGTTCTGACTGCAACACTGAGCATGTCTGCTGTAGTGGTGTACCTGGTGTTGCTTTTGCTGAAGATTCATCTCGCTTAAACACTGAAAGCAGCCAGCAATTACCTTTTAGTTTTGCTTCGGGTTTGGAAGATATAGATGGAAGCAAATTTTCCTTTTCTGCTTCATCCTGTGCACGAAATAGTTCATCTGCCACAAAACGTCTGCATAAAAAGAAAAATAGGAGGAAAGTTCCATGCGAACCATTTGTTATTGCTGCGAATCCAATTCTGAAGGTTCGTTCTTCTTCTGCTCTTTGTTATCCCATGGCCTTTGCTAGCTCCTGTTGAACTTGTCCTAACTGTGTTATTGTGCAGGATCACGAGGGAGATTTATATACTTCACAAGAAAAACTGGGGAACAATGCTGAATCAAATGAACATCTAGAGAAAGGTTATGTGACATCCACTGCAGCAATTCAGGAAGCTTGTGAAACATGGCGCCTCAGGTGCTTTTCCAACGTGAAAACTGTTGTTGTTTCAATGGTGTCTTCATGATGGTTATTATTGATATATTGAAATGGTTTACAAATTAATAGGTGGCTTTTCTTTTCAGGCATCCTTTATTACTTATATATGGCTGGTTTTGATTTGTGACAGGGGAAATCATGCTTACAAAAATGGAGATTTTTCAAAAGCTAAAGAATTTTATACACGTGGAATAAATTCTGTCCCTTCTAGTGAAACCTCAGGATGCTGCCTCAAACCACTTGTTGTTTGCTACAGCAACCGAGCAGCAACTTGGAAGTCTCTTGGAAAGTTGAGGGAAGCTTTAAAAGATTGTGAAATGGCTGAAATTCTGGATCCTCAATTTCTCAAAGTTCGAATTAGAGCTGCCAAGTAAGGCCTTTGTTTGAGCTATTTTATATCTTATGATTCTGGATGTGGCAGAATCTTTGTGTCTGCTCATTTATTAAAATAATCTGTTGCCATGCAAATAAGGATTTTCTGTTAAGCAGTTAAATGGACCAAAAATTGGTGATTCATTGAGCATCTTCTCTTCTTCCTATTCCTTTCATCCCTTTTTATCATTACAACGACGCCTTGCGATTCTTCCGAGATTTCTATTTGTTTTTCCTCCTTTTTATTGTTTTGTAACATTTCTTGGTTTGGGAGGCGAGACAATGTTTTTCGGGGAAAAATTCTAAGGTTGATGTACTTCTAAGCCCCTCGGCAAGATGCACATTGACCTTGGTGCACCAAGGACGTGCAAAGGGTAAGCCTAGTCTTGAGACTCTAATTTTCTAAATGTGCATGAAATGGTATGGCTAATGTGTAGATAATTAGATTGGTAACAGTTCTTGTTTTTTCATTATGTTATATAATGTACTGATGGAAAATTTTGCATCAGAATACTGTAGCAGCTGAATGGTACAAATGAATGGTGGAAAAATAAAATAAAATAAAGAGAAGTTTAAAATACTGGAAGGCTGTAAATTTCATTGCTGAGACCATCTTTTTATTTTCATATCTGCATTATATATGCGGGCCTTTTTGCTTTATATGAAACAATGAATCATAGTTTAATGTTTTTTATTGTTTCAGTTGTCATCTTGAGCTTGGGGAAGTTGAAAAGGCACAATACTATTTTAGTAAGTGTTTGGAATCTGGGGCTGCTGTGTGTTTGGATCGAAGAATAGCAATAGAAGCTGCTGATGGCCTACGAAAAGCCCAGGTATGAACTTGTTTCCTGTTGGCAGATTTATATATATATATATATTTTTCTAAAACCAATCTGGTCCTCTGAGCATTCAAACCTTTTTTCAGTTATGCATTATTCTTTATTACTTGGTGTTCAGGAATACCTATATTAATGTGTTGTGCATATCAAATGTCATGCATGGCATAGACCATTTTGTTTCTCAAATTAGTAAGATATACAAATTTATGCAACAAGCATTTCAGGAATCATTATGTGTTCTCAAAAATTGTTTTTCATTGTTTTGTTTTCTGAAGTAGCTAACTATGTTTTTTTGTGTATGGTTCTCATTTGAATATAATAATTTTAGGTCTTCTTGAAGCTCAGCTTTCCTTTTCTCCTTTCATTTCCTCATTTTGTGTGTGCTTGAGTCTGTGTATATCAGAAAGTAGCAAGTCAATAATCCCATAACATATTGGTTTTTTTCCTTGCCTGTAGAAAGTGATTGAGTGTACAAATCATTCGTCCAAGCTTTTGGATCAGCGGACATCTGATGCAGCAGTTAGTGCTTTAGATGTAATTGCAGAGGCCCTGTCAATCAGCCCAAGTTCAGAAAGACTACTGGAAATGAAGGCAGAGTCTATGCTTATGGTTTGTACTATTTTAACATTGAACTTCTCCCCCTTCATTTCTTTTTCTTCAGTCCCTCTCCAAATTTTTGAATCAATTTGAAGACTGACAACTGATAAACCGATGTCTTTCATTTGTTTTCTTGTAAGTTTACATGGGCTTTTTTTTATCTATCTTGCAGTTGCAGAAGTATGAAGAGGTGATACAACTGTGTGAGCAGACTCTTTGCTCTGCTGAAAGCAATTTCGCTTCGTCGGGCACCGATGACCAATTGATAGATCAAGATGTTTCTCAAACTGAAAGCCACTCATTTCCAAAGATGTGGAGATGGCGCTTAATGTCAAAATGTTACTTTTATTTGGGAAAGCTTGAAGCAGCCCTTGATTTACTTGGGAAGTTGGAGCAAATGGGATCCATAAGTGACAAGTAATAAATAATTTTTGTTGATGTATTTCTGTATTTTCCATATGCTTCTTCATTTGGGCTTCCTTTCTTGAAATGGATTTTAGGTTCCTGATGTTAGTTTGAATCATTTAGGTGTGCAAGTAAGATATTGGAATCATCAGTTTCATTAGCGGTCACCATCTGTACACTCTCTCATCATAAGGTATGTCAATGATTATTATTTTGTTGATGATTGAGAATTTGCTTAGCTACTTTTTAGTTAATTAGTTTTTGGAGGGAAATTTGTAATTTTTTTTTCAGTTACGTAGCTTGCTGTGAAAGCAAGTCTATTAGTGGGGTTATTAAGCTTGCTTGTAAGTTCAGAAAAGCTGAATATGAGTTAACATGTTAACAGGTGAGTTAAGGCTTAAGTATGAAGCTGACAAAAAGCCATCCTTTTGTACTTAGACTAAGTAACCTCTTTTGTGTTAAGTGTTAAAGAAATCAATGAAGTCGGTGCTTTTGAAGGTTCAATTACAGAACCACACTTGATTCTTGTCAACATGCATTTTCATATTTTTTGCTCAATTTTTTTTATTAATCTAGGATTAAGTGCCATGCTTGCATGTTTCAAAGTTGTTTTATCTTATTCTGACGAGTCTATCACAGTTACATTTCAAAAGATGTGAGAAACCAGATACCATCTAGCCGTCATATAAGTACACTGGGTGGTTATGCCTTCTCAGTAAGTGATTTATAGAGGATATGATGGAGGATTTATTTTCTATCTAATCTTTTGTCTTGATATCTGAATTAATGAGATGTTGGATTTGAACGAGCAAATCCATTTCTTTTCAATATCTTTATGTGCTCCTTTTTTGTTTCAACTATTAAGCTTAGATTCATGTAGAAGTTGTGTATTATAATTGCCATAACAATTCTGATATTTTCTTATTATTAAGAATTTGGGTCTTAGGAACAATTAATCAAATTCAATTAACAATATATTTATTAATTTGAATTTATAATGAGTTGGACTTACCTTTTCAAGACAAAATGACGTAAGCCATTTTGGTTGGTTCACCTTTCTCATTATATGTTGCTTAATTTATATTTAACTAGTATTGGATTGCCTACATACTTCTACACTCTCCCCTCAAGTTGCAATGAGGCAACTTGACAAGCATATGATGGTCTAATACGGGTCCATCAGGGTACGACCCACCGGAACTTCCCTCGTGCAATACAGGTTTGGGTCCCAGGTTTTGATACCACGTTTAGTAGCAATTAATGAAATTCAATTAACAATGTATTTATTACTTTGGACTTACCTTTAACATAAAATGGCCGAAGCTATTTTGATTGGTTCACCTTCCTCATTATATGTTTTGTACCCAATTTATATTTAACCAATATGGGATTGCCCTTCTACAATTCTCTCCCTTAAATAGACTTCTAACTCATTAGTCAAAGCCCAATTAGTGCTCACATTTTGCCTCCTTTTGTTTCTTAGATCTGTTCTTTCTCCTCCTTCTTCCTTCCTTTTTTTTTTTTTTTTGCTTTTGACAAAATTGGAGGTCCGTACTGGTCTGCCTAAGAATTGCACCCATCCTGCATAACTTATTATGAATTGCTTGAGTTATTTGCTTTCTTAATTATGACATGTTCTTATGAGCAGTTTATAATAGATGTTGATTGAATTAGCTTACTCATGTACTTGATTGATATTGTTCTTTCCCTCTGTGGAAATCATCATTAAGTTGCATTTGGCTTTGTGGAAATGGAAGATAACTTAGACATCACATGAATTTGGTTGTTAATGACAAGTGATAAGTAGAGTTTAAAATTGCTAAACCTGCAGTGGAAGTAAAATTATTTGATATCCATAATCTTCTGTGGAAAAATACAAAATTCCAAGCCCTAATACTGGCATATGAATTATTAACATTTGGTGTTCTATTAAATTCTTTGTTTTTCTGTGTCAGCTTTTGTTCTGATGAACAATATTATTGTTTGATCTCACTGAACCTATAAAATATATGCACTCTTCCTGTTGAATATGTTAAATTTACTTTAAATTTATCATCAATTGCAGAATGCAGGGAATGAAGCAGTTCGATCTGGAAGGTATATAGAAGCACTAGAGCATTACACTGCTGCTGTATCAAGCAATGTTGAATCACGTCCTTTTGCAGCTATTTGTTTTTGCAATCGTGCTGCTGCACACCAAGCCTTGGGTCAAATTGCTGATGCTATTGCGGATTGCAGTCTAGCTATAGCCCTTGATGGAAATTACTCAAAGGTTTGACTTTGAAATGCATCATTTATTACAAATTTATATAAATTTCAATGACTTAAAAAAAAAAAAAAAAAAAAAAAAAAAATGACTTAAAAAAAAAAAAAAAAAAAAAAAAAAGAAAATTACCTTGCTTAATTGGTGGTGAATTTAAATTTGAAATGGCATGAATTATTATGAACAAATTTACATAAATTTCAAATCAGTTAAAAAAAGGAAATTAACTTTGGTTAATGATGTGAATGGGTTCCAAAAAAAAAAAAAAAAAAAAAAAAGAAAATTACTTTGCTTAATGGTGTGAATTTAAATTTGAAATGCATGATTATTATGAACAAATTTACATAAATTTCAATCAGTTAAAAAGGAAATTAACTTTGGTTAATGATGTGAATGGGTCCCTTTAATTTTGCTGTTTGCCACAAACATCAAGCAATTAATCTCAATTTATTGCAAGGAATTTTAGCCACACAAATCACATTATTAAATTTCTTACACATGAGCTTTGTAAATTGGTATGCCGATGAAATATTACTACACTCATAAAGCCTACTAGGCAAGAAATTTAATTTTGTAATGAAATGATGAGGTCCTTGAGGGTGGCGATTGACTTAGAACTCCTATTCCCCTCTAATAAGTAACATGATCATTTGATTGATAGGAGTTGTGATGCTTGGTTTTCTCCTTTATGCATTAATAAAATTATGGTGAAAAACAAGTAGTGAGAAGGGATCTGCATGCTGAAAATGAAAGTCTCGTTTGATGGTGATAATATGCTAATTTGGGTTTCTGCTGTTTTCTTTAGATCTATGTGATTATTTTTTAAGTTATTTGTTGGTATTTTTGTGACTGATTGTGAATTCCTTTCTCAGGCAGTTTCTAGGAGAGCTATGTTGCATGAGATGATCAGAGACTATGGACAAGCAGTTAATGATCTCCAAAGACTCATAACTATACTTGAAAATCCATCTGATGGAAAAGCTAGACAGTCTGTCACACCTGGTAGGTCCCCTAGCAGCACAAAAGAATTAAGGCAAGCTCGTCGGCGTTTATCCTTGATGGAAGAGGAAGCTAAGAAAGGAATACCATTGGATTTATACCTCATTTTGTGAGTAATTTGTTCCACTGGAGCTTCTAGAGCTTGATAATTGCAATGGACCTGCATTACATTGTTTCACAAGTAAAATTATTCTTTCTGATATTTTAACCTTACCTGTTAGGACTCCTATTGGCGTTATCCTTAGTGTGATGACCTACTGCTAACTTGATAAGTGGTGTTCAGCTGTGTCAGTTGCTTCCAAATTCATGGATATCTTGTTATCAAAATATGTAGCAAACATGTTATATTTACGTCAATGATACAATCCTAGGCAAGGGCTTTTGCTTTAAAAGCTGAACACAAATTTTACATTTTTTTAAAAAAAAAATTCTCTTGTAACACTGTTTATGTTTCGCATAGCAAATGTAATGGTTTTGTGCTTATAGATGTGTAAAGTTTTGTGCTTTGATGACTCTATGGATGAACATAACAAGAATAAAGACACGCCTGCCATTGACTGGTTCCTTTTGTTGCTTTCTGAAACTTTATTATAAGCTCTTAACTGTGTCTAATTTTATAATGCCAGAGGAGTTAAACAATCTGATACAACAGCTGAAATGAAAAAGGCATACCGCAAAGCAGCACTCAGGCATCATCCAGACAAGGTTTTAAGCTTTCCAACTCCGCAGACTTGTCTTAGTTATTGTTATCATGCTTGATTTTCAGCTCATTATTTTCTTTTCTTTTCTTTTCTTTTCTTCTTTCTTTTGTAGGCTGGTCAGTTCTTGACAAGAACTGAGAGCAGAGATGAAGGGCGGCTTTGGAAGGATATTGTTCAGGAGGTGCACAAAGATGCTGACAGGTTATTTAAAATGATAGGAGAAGCTTATGCTGTTCTTTCAGATGCCACAAAGGTAAGTTATCCGTGCTATTTCCACTTTGTTAGATTTTAGTTCACCATTTTGCTCTATATTTGGTTAGCAGTTGCTATTAACCAATTTTCTCTCTTTTACTTTAAACCTCATATGCTGATCTGAGATCTAATTAACTTAGAAATGGCAATTTCCCCTGCCATGCACTGAACTGGCGTGGGTAAGGGGTGGGTAATTTTTTAGGCACCCACTGCAACTCGCCCTTTTCCCAATTCTACTCATCTTCAGCCACTGTTACTTATGTTGATATAATCTAGCTCTGTGTGTACGTGTTGATTGTGCGTGTGGTTTTGCACATGCATTTGCATATTTTGTTTTTGTGGGTGTAATTCTGGCAGATAAGGGGGCATGCGACTGGCATCGTAGTCTTTAAAGCTCATTTAGATGAATTAGGGGCCAAGAATGTATATGTGGGCGCGCTCTACGTGTTTTTAGCTTTCTTCTTCCTTTTTCCTTTTCAGTACCTTATTGTCTTATATATAACTAAAAGGGATGATGTTAAATCGTACTACCTTTAAGAAATTGCTTGTTGCATCTGAGGAAGAAGATATATCTTTCATTGATGGTAGCACATTAATTGGATGCACACATAAGATGGCTTTGAGATGACAGGATATGCTGTAACAAGCCAGCTTGTTATATAATTACTCGAGATGTTACTATGCATCAGACTCAATAAAATTTGATCAATCCTGTTTTCTGTCATTAAGGTGGAGAACTAAACCAAGAAATCTTTTGTTAACATCAATTGAATCGCTGTTCACGATCAAGTATTAGAAACACGAAGGACTGGCACTTGGCTGTCTTCATGACTTTGAAAGCCTATACGCTTGCTTTAATTCCTAGATCCTACATTGGTATAATGAGCTTTATATGGTTAGGAACACTTTTCTCCCCTCATGTATGGGCTAGTTATTTTGAATCAACTGTTGGTGGCAGAGCTATCTCTGTAGGCACAGCTCGATTCTTGGGCACAACTACTTATGGGAAGAGTTAATATTGCTAGTGGATTCATGGTAGGGCTGTGTAGCTAGGCCAGTGTCAACAGAGAGAGTTGCCAAGGACTGGCTGTGAAAGTGGGGTGGAATTTTTAAAGTCTCAATATCCCACCTTGGTTATGTGAGAAACTTAATGTGAGTTGAGAAGACCTTGGACTCTTTCCCCTAATAGCTTCTAGGGCATCTCCTCTAGCACTTATCTGAACACCTTATCTATTCTAGCTATCTTTTTGATTTATAGTATTACCTTCAGTCCAAGGGTTCAACTTCAAGTTATTCCAAGTCCCATATGATAAGAATTTATCTTATTCTTCGAATGAGGTTTTGATTATCACCTCCAACTGGTTGAGTTCAAATCTCAACTACAGGAGCAGCACACTCTAATCTCATTCTGTAATTTTTTTGTGAATAACTTTTTTTTACTTCCTGCTAATTATATTTTACTTTTCAATTTGTAAGTTGAATCATTTTGATAATCCGTTTTCCATTAACAGCGGTCACAATATGATCTTGATGAGGAAATTAGAAAGGCATCAAAGGAACAAAATGGAAGCCACCCTCTCAGAAGAACATCAGATGCTCACAGCTATTCATATGGGAGGAGTGACCAACGTCGAAATTGGCAGGATAATTGGAAGACATATGGTCATTCACGTTCTCGTTGGTAAGAAGCGCATGAAAATCCAGAGGTTTATATGAAAACTAACTTTATTTGGTATTGAGGCCTCAGGAGGGATAAAATGGCATGAGACTACCATTTGTCTAAGATTCTTTTGCTCCAACCAAATCTGGATATTGGAAATCTAATATTCTTTACAACTTGGCTAATTTAACAAGGAAGATTCTTTAAACTTAGAAGTCGGTCAAGGAAAAACAGATGTGAGAGAACCGTTCTGGGTCATGAAAGACAAGTTTGTATGGGAAATCTGGTCTGAAATACGCATTTGTGCCAAATCTTAGACGATCATAATCATGGAGAGAAGTTGGGGTTTTTTGGCTGTACTTCCAACTTGCACAGAAACATAGAAGAAGATACCTGAAATGAAATTGTTTAGAAATGTCATACACTTGTTACTGAAAAGGAATTGTATGTTTCAATGTCATAAACTTCTAGCCTTGCAGCAGCCTGTTTGCTGTGCATGGAAAACTGAATTATGTGATAAAGGAAATAAGGAATGCAGAATTATTTTTAAATTATTATTTTTGAAGTTTTGCCTGTTGTATACAGCCTGTTTGCTTTATTTCATTTCGTTAGCTATTTTGGTTTTTTTTTTTATTATTATTGGTTAAATAGAAAATTAAAATAGAATAAATTGTCAGTTTGACTGACGCCAAAAAAATAATATTTGTTAATTATATACAATATAATTTTTATTAATGTAGTATCTTTGACATATTTCTATTAATATAACACATTGTAAATCATTTAATAGTTTTTTTTTTTTTTTTTTTTTTTAATTATTACAAATATAATTTTTATTAATGTAGTAATCTTTGACATATTTCTATTAATATAACACATTGTAAATCATTTAATAGTTTTTTTTCTTTTTTTTTTTTGAAGAAGTAAATTATTTCACAACTTACTAATGTCATTAAAGTTATGTTTTATATTAATATGAATTACAAAAAATTAATTGGTAAGCATTTAAACATCTACTGGAAACTAAAAATATTCAATTATTTTGAATCATATTTTTTTTTTTTTTTTTTTTTTTGAGAACGTAAATTATTTCACACTTATAATGTCATTAAAGTTATGTTTTATATTAATAATGAATTACAAAAAATTAATTGGTAACATTTAAACATCTACTGGAACTAAAATATTCAATTTTGATCATATTTTATTTATTATTAAATTTAGATTGTTGCAATTAGTACTTCAAGTGTTAAAAATTTCGGCTGTTTAGAAAATTAAATTCGGTTAGATCCGATTATTCAATGCTCACCTCTAATTGAAACAAATTATTAAAAAATGTAATTACACAACAAATTCAATTTCCACCACAATCACTCTTAAAGCAATATTAAAAATTTGAATATAAAATGTCTTTCTCATACTCTTAACTTAATTTCTCAACCTATAATTAGATAACTTATCCGGAAAAGATGATCAGTACAATTTTCTATAGTTTGAATCTGATCTTTTAAACGAGAAACAAAATTCCAGATACTGAAAAATGACAATAAATCTCGAGAACTGCACTAAGAATTTCATCGAGCAGCCTGTGCATGCTCTAGAAGCTGATTGACTAACTTGTAAGTACGGCCCGACAGTGCCTTGGTGTGATCTATCAACTGCTCATACCTGGAATGGAATGGGAAAATTTTTAAAACGGTGCTTTCGCATATAAACAAATGGGAACCGATGTAAAAAAAAATTTTAAAATTGACAGCAGATGTATGAAAATTGAGCACAAGAAGACCAAGCATATGAACACCGAGTAGATGAAAAGAAGAATAAGAACTGTCAATTTATCTATATGCATCTGTAATCTTACACATTGGGATGATTTGGCTCCATGACGACAGTTCCTGATTCTGAATCGATCTTAGCATCAAGCTTTGAGTTTCTAATAAGATTTACAATCCATCTCTCAGCCTCATCATAATTCAGATTCAATTTCTCGGCAAGGACTCTGCCATGAACAGCAAATTAGTTTGAATTAGCAGAATAATGAAAAGGAAGCATTAAAACTTAATGTGTGGCGCAAAATGTTCCATTTTCCAAACATTGTTGAGGCTCTAGTTAAGCTCTAAATCATCCAAACATTGACTGACCCCAATTCTCAAATGAGGTTGTAGAGAACTTCATTTCTCAAGCCTCTTCATGGGATATAAATTATTGTCAACATAATAGCATAGATAAACAACTATATCCACTAAGAAACAAAATTACAGCAAAGGTCACACGTTTAAAATTGTAGGTCTGATTGCATCAACTCATCAAACACAAGTAAAACAATTAAAAATTAAAGTGAAAAAGAAAAGGGATTAATTAGCTAGGTTTTGTCACAAATTTCTATCGCTGGATATCTTATTTAAAAAAAAATTACACTTTGTATTCACAGTCTAATTAGATATTGAAATATAGTTGTTTGCATTTGTGAAGATTACTTCAATAATTACTTCAAAGAGAAAAGCATGTTTTACAGGAACATTTCTCAATGTTACATGACGAACAATAAGCTTCGTTTGAAAAAACCACCACATTTGAATGTATACATTAGCAAAAATGAAAGAAAGCACATCAATTCAATGAAATTAAATAAAACATCCCCCCAAAAGAGGCTCTTCAGTGTCAAATAAATCAAGTCTATAATCCGCACTTACCCCATGTCAATACGCTGATGTATACGGCAATAAGTTTCAAAGATGAATAGGCGGGCATTTTCCAGAAACTCATCTCTAAGGGGCACAGTAGAAAAGTTGCTATCTTCAACTCTTTTGCCAAGGAATGGATCATTTAAAATCACCTACAACCAGTAGCAAGTTAGTTAGGCTAAGGCATACAATACAGAAATAATTCTTCATTCAGACAAGCTCAGAACCATCTCCCACTTGCAGCAGCCAGAACTTCACTCCCGTCTAACCCACCACCACCATTCGCCAATCCCCAGCCAAAAAAATAAAAAAAGAGAGAATGAAAGGAGGGGGACAAATACCATATGGAAACAACTCTGCACCAAAAGCATGCAACCAAAATATCCCAGAAATGCTGATCACCACTTCTCATTTTTATTAGAGTAAACAAGTCAACTCAGACTCTTTTACCAAAATGTTTAAATTTGAACTATATAAGCTTGCAAGTTTAAATATCTGATTTTCTTATATAATTTCAAATATATCCTACATCATACACATATTTCATCTTTGAGATCACTCGGGTTTATTTGAGCTTTAATTCAAGATTAGTTGAACTTGAAGTTTCAATGATAATCGAGTTAAGTTGAATTGTAATATCTCAAAGTTTAACTGAGTAGAGGTTCTTAGTTGAGTTTAAGTAGTGCATCATATTGCCTTGACTCTGTCTGACTCGATTGGATCACACCCCTAACTCCTCTCATTTGCCTCACCCTTTAGAACTTTGTAAAAGAGAGATAATACAAGGGATACCGAAAGATAACTGGTAAACCATCAGTAAACACAGTGAGCTCAAAGTATCAGCAAAGCAATCAGATGTATGAGAAGCTTACTTCTTCACATTCCCTCATCTTCTTTTGTGCCCCATCAAAGTCATAATTAACATAGACACATGCTAAAAACTCTGTGATGGGATCTTTGTACGAATGCTGCTCTTGCTGTATGACCTTTATAAAGTCTTTGAATTGAGGCCTTCTCCTTTTGTTGACAATGAATGCAGTTGCTAGGTACCTCAAAAGATGAGGAGCATTGGTTTGAATGGCATTGAGGTACCTGAAAAAGAATAATAGCAAAAAAATATATACATACATTATTTAAAGGCAAAAGTAACAAAAGTAAGACTGCACAAGATTCAAAGAGAAGAAAACATAATTTAGTTGAAGTGCCATGAGATCTTGCTTAACATCTCACTGTAGCTTAAATAAGTTTGTCCATAAAATAAGGCAGACAATGCATAATATAGTTACATTAAGTACCCCCCATAAAACATTCAAATACATATTTGAGTTATCATATCTGACCCATCTAATATAAGCAGAAAAGATAAACAATTATGAAATGTTATAATTGCATTTGTTCCTCTATGTGTACAGGGCACACACAAATCCAGTAATACTGGATATCCAATTAGTCAGTCCATCATACGTTAGGCACCACATACCAACAGCAAGAACCTAACATCCGTATCCTAAAATTTGCAACCTATTTATGTAGTGACAATATATAATATCTACGTCCAGCAAATCTATTGACTAAGTAACCTACAGAAGCAGTACCATTTAGTTGCAATTGAACAGTACATATATGCAAGATTTTTCCAACTAAATAAGAAGATCAAAACCCATACCATTCCAAAAAAGGCTAAAAAAAGGGACTCTAAGGCACTTGCAAAAGGACGATAAAAGGCTTATTGGACAAACTAAGACAGAAATTCAGCAAATACTAGTATAAAGAGAAAAGAAGAGATATACATACTTGTCTTGATTGAACAAGTCAATAATCTGTGTTCTTCCATTGTCATGATTGAAAAAGATGAAAAGGCTCCAATGCATCAACCATATTCGACTTTGCATTTGATTCAATGGTGATGAGAAACTCTGAAACAAAAATCGCAGCCAGTCAACATCATTATTTTAAAAGAAATAGAAGTAGCACATCACATAAGAAGGGCAAAAGTAGATACACTACCTTTGAATCAATTATTTCTTTCAAACGATTCAGTTCTTCAAGAGCAATATCCCAGTTTTGCATCAGAATCTCAGCAGCCAACTTCCCCCACAATGCACTGAGACTCCTTTCACTGTTAGTGCACAAGGCCCTGTACTGGTAAAGGTAGTCAGCTGCACCAGAGTAGTTTCCACATTCAAACTGAAATTTGGCATACTGATATAGCGCCTCAATCTGCTCTGTACCAATCTGGCAATGAACCACACCATCATTTGATGAGTTGAAGAAAAATAAATCTCTAACCAAGCCCACCCCTCAAACGAAAACAATACTATGCAGCCAACGGATCTGATAATGACTCATACTATAAAGAAGGCATTCGAGTATAGAACAAGATGAAGAAACTGGATATTTATCATTGGGATAACATATACAATATTGAGCCTAAAAAAGAAAACTTTTGAAATTTGGCAATGGCTTTCGATACCAATAATAGAAGACAATAATTAAAATAACAAATAAAAACATAAAACAACAAAGTAAAAAAAAAAAATCATTACCTATCAAATAACCACAAAACAAAATCATAAAATTATGCAAAGCAAAAAAAAAAAAAAAAAAATCAATATAGCAAACCTGATAACGGTCATTAAGCATCTGAAGATTGTACTGCTTATCCGCCCTCAACTCCTGCACTGCGCTCGCATTCTGCAAAAACGCTACTAACGGCGCCGCACCTTCCTCGAGGGCCTTCAATCTGGCCACAACCTCCGCCCTTCTCTCCACCATATCTAAACGAAGCCCTCTCGAACACATTAAATAAGTATACATGCAATATAGTAAGTTAAGCCTAAGAGTAAGTTTAGGTTACCTTGAGGGACGTCTTCGGTATGGTAGAGGCTCTTGTGGATGTCCATGGCGTAATCGACCATGTTTGTTTTGTTCAAGAGCTCAATTTTCGATTTGAAGATCTGGTCCTCTGGATATAGCTGCCGTTCTTGGAGAAACTCCAGTAGAGGAAACACCAAGTGCCGGTCAAGATGAGGCGCCATTCTTGGTGTCAGATCATAGTTAGCCATGGTTGCCGCTGCTGGAGGTTGTGGAGGTGGTGGTGGTGTTTCTTTTACTTCGAGAATTGGAAAAGAAAAGAAAGGGCAAGGAGTAGGGTTTTTTTGGGATTTATGTAGTTTTCAGATTAGACGAATTAGGAATAAATATCCAATCTGTCCATCACCTCTTCAAAAAACTTAAAATTTACATCCAATACAAAAGTTAAAATTAAAATGTCATTTTGACCCCTCACGTTTTAATTGTAATCAATTGGATCCAATTTTAAGCTATGCCAAATTTGAAATAAATATTTTGTGGGAAAATTATGAAATTACCCCATATTATGTCAAAATTAACTACTTTGTTCCTATATTTTTTAAAATATATTATTTTATCCTTGTATATCAATTTTGTCCAATTATTTTGTCATTCCTTGTCCAATTATTTTGTCATTCCGTTAGATTTTTGACAAAAATAATATTCTTCAAAAAACTATTTCTCAATCTAATGTCAAATCAAAATTATTTATCAATATAATATTTGTCTTGCTATAGAAAGAGTGTGTTGCACTAAAACCACCAATTCAATTGGCGATTTCAATGCAATAGGAGAAGTAACTCGTACTGACAAACTGTCAGCAAAAAATAATTATATGAATAAACAATAATTTTTATATTGTATTGAAACCATCAATTTAACTGGTAGTTTCAATACAAAATAAAAATTTTAAATTGTCAAATGACCTTTTTACTCAAACACAATTCATTTGATGATTTTAGTGCAAATATGAGATATGACCACTAATCAACAAAAGATACATGTGAGAAAGCATTGGTTTCAATAAAAAAATATTTGTTTATTAAAAATATTTTTTCACCAAAACACACGTATCATTTAATAGTTTTGATTCATAAATAGTTCAAATTAAATAATAAAAACATAAGTTTTACAAATTATAAGAGTACTAAAGTACTTCAAATTAAACTTATATTATATGTTAAAAATATTTTAATAACTAATACACCAAAAAATATCCTAATAACTTCTTTAAATTGGTCTAAAGGATTGTCTTGTTCTTTATATAAGCAAATAGTGTTTAATGCTTCAATTATACATCCGAAAAGATTTCACAATTTCTTTTTTTTTTTTTTTCTTTTTTTTCTTTTTGCTTTTTATTCCTTCACAATTTCTTTTTTTTTTATCTTTTTTTTTTTTTTTTTGATTGTCTTTGTTCTTTATATAAGCAATAGTGTTTTATGCTTCAATTATACATCCGAAAAGATTTCCACATTTCTTTTTTTTTTTTTTTTTTCTTTTTTTTCTTTTTGCTTTTTATTCCTTCACAATTTCTTTTTTTTTTTATCTTTTTTTTTTTTTTTTTGCTTTTTAATTCCTTTACAACTTCAAGATTCTACACTGTGCTAATAGAATAAAACATGCATTTGATTCCTTTGCTTAAAATTTTTCCCCCCTTAAAAGCTTCACTAAGTAAATCTTTATTCCTTTTTGAAAAGGGAACTAAACACAAATATATCTATATTTTTGAACTTTTTTTAAATTTTTTTTTTTTTTTTTGCTTTTTATTCCTTTACAACTTCAGATCTACACTGTGCTATAGAATAAAACCATGCATTTGATTCTTTGCTTAATTTCTAAAAGCTTCACTAAGTAAATCTTTATTCCTTTTGAAAAGGGAACTAAACACAAATATATCTATATTTCTTTTTGAACTTTTTAATTTAATTTACTAGAGTTAATTACTTGGCCAAATCTATATTTTATAGGAATAAAAATCAATTTAGACCCTAAATTGTATACAAAAAGTAAAAAGCTCGTATTTTACCTTTTGGGTCAATTTCAGCAGCAACTCATACAAAATAGTCCAATTTAATTCATTTTAGGTTAGAAAACATGGGTGAAAGTCGTACGGTCAAAATCATATACAACTATATGTATATTTTTTTTTTCCGCTTCATGCGGTTGTTTCTTTCAGCATATATCTCAAATTTTCTTCTCATATGCAAATTGAAATTCATAAAATACAAAGAATTAGTCAGCAAAACCCAATATTTCTATTAATAATCGTCATAGAATTTGTAAATATATATTTCTCATAAAGGATCCAATCTAACAAAAGTAACAAAAACGTCAAAAAACAATTACCCAAAAGAAAATCCAAAAAATTACAATAATATGATCCGAGAAAAGCAACAAATTCGAAAAAACTAAAAGGAAAAAAAAAAAAACTAAGGGAAATCACTTTGATTAACCATCTTCTAATATAGATTGCTCTTCCAAAGTTATGTTTTAAAGTTGTATTGTAATTATCTAACATCGTCTTAATAATATTACTAGATGGATTCGACATAAATAATAACACATATGTAAAAAAGAAGATTAATAAACAATATCGTTTAAACACAGAGTTTTGTCTTAGTATTGATTAACACTAGCCATGGGGGAAAAGAAAACTCAAATAAAAAAAATAGATTGATATAGATAAAGATTTGGGGAAAAAAAAAAAAAAAAGGAAGATTAGAAAAGAGTTTCATTGACTCTACTTCTTTAGTTGCAGAGATGGATAGTTGTGGGTTTTGCTGTTTGTGAAAAGGATAAAAGAATTTTTCTATAAATTCAAAATTTTCTACTAATCCAAAGGATAAAAGGATAAAAATGACAAAAACTAATGATCCAAAATTTTCTGTAAATTCAAAAAATGATAAATGAATTCTACATTAATAAATTAAAAATAATAAATTTACTTTCTTAGCTAAACTAAAACAATAAATATAAATATTTATTTTATAAATTAAAACAATTACTCAAATCATAAAATTACCTAAAAAAAAACTTTACTAATGGTTAATCATTAGTGTCTTTTGCTCAAGGTATTAAATATTTATCACTAACTAAAAATATATTGAACATGAAAAAGAAAACAAAAATTTGTATAATGAATTTAGTAGATGCAGCTAGTATACTTATATACAAAATACTCAAAAGATAATTAAGATTTTTAAAAAAATTAGAGGAGAATTAAATTATAAAATAACAAAATGTTACGTCAATTTATAGTGTGATTACTAATTATTGCAAAGCCTAATTAGTGTTCTATTATTAATGTAGAAAATTTATTATTTGGATTATTAATTATTGCAAAATAAAGAAAAGAGTGAGTTTTTTATTAATGAAATAAAATTATTATATAGTTATTAATTATTGAAAAAAGAAAATAAAAAATTTTATAATTTGATTTCTTCGATTTAGATAATAAAATCGATATGTTAAAAATTTTAAACAGAAGTAAAAATCTACATCTCCAAATAAGTTTCATAATATCATGCCACATAAACAAATTTAGTTAGATTTTTATATGTTTATATCGATAGTTATAGACGTAGACATCGATATAAATATAAAAATATAGTTAAACAGTTTACGGTAATTAAAAATTTTCAATTGTGAAAAAATTCCCAAACGAAATTAAAACTGTACAAATAAATAGCAATATCAAAATAAGTCTATTATTATTAATTACTAGTATTTCCTAATTTGAGTTCCAAATAACCGTATGAATCATTAGTATTTATTTTAATAATTTAATTTTTCTTTTAATGAAGAATATGAATGGATTCTCTCCAAATCAGTGTATTTGATTAGTTTTGATGAGATATTATACGTACATCTAAGTTGTAAAAATAGTTATTAACGATAAACTGTTTTAATTATCAATTATAAAAAGCTAATAATAATAAAATATTTTAATTACAAGTCAATTTAATTAAATTTAATCAAGGAATAATTCTTTTAAGAAATGTATTTTAATTAGTCTAGGAATGTATTTTAATCTATTAGTTTATTCAATTAAAGAATGCTTTTTTTATCAATAAAATTAAAATCTTTATTATATTCTTGTATTTAATATACACATTATATAATATATAATACTTTTAAATAGAAAATTTATATGATCAATCAAAATTAAATTATTTTTATTTTTCAACTAATTAAATTAATATCTTTAATGATATTTTTATCAATTAATAAACCTAGTAGATTATAGATATAATTATAAATTATAGATATTATAGATAGATAGATTATATAATAATTAATTTTTGTTATCTATTTTTTCACCCAAAAAAACCTATATAATTGAGTTGGAGCAAATACAATACCCGACAATACCCGACCCATTTTACTCTTCCATCTGTCCTTTTAAGATAAAAATAAACTGGTGGAGTAGTATATTTTTACCCATTTGTTTTAGAAATACACCTAATTAATAATAAATAAATAAATTTCACCAATAATTATTACAATTAATAAAAACCCCCGTTCTAAAACCGTTATGGAAAATCCGTTTCACGCGCTTGACAAAAGCGCGTGATACCAATCAACGCACCCCATCAACAACTAAGCGGAATTGTCACTTACCTTATAAATACGAGAATGAGAATGTCTCTGTAAATTACCCATTTCGAGCATCAAATAAGGTGTTTAAAAATGGCTTCTCGCTTTCTTCTTTCTCTTCTTCTCTGCTCATTGGCCATTATCTCCATTGCTTTCGAGTCTGAAGTTGGTATGCTCTCTGTCTCTCTCTCTCTCTCTCTCCCTCTTCTGCACATTATACATGCATATACTTTCTCATTAGGGAGTCATTTAATTGCAGAAGTTAACCATTAATCAAATCTGGGTTTTGAAATATCTCTTGAAATGTTTTTGTAATTACTTTCAATTCTAATGTCATTTTTGAAACTTTTTTTTTTCAATTTTTATCTGATATTGTATATGATTTTTTTGTTTGAAAATCATATGATATTATATATGATATATTGGCTAGTTGATTAGCTTTAGCTGTGCACTTGGTATTTCGCTGTTGTTTTTGTATTTGCTTTTTTTTTTTTTTCTTTCTCTAAGAAATCAAGGAATCAGTATGCCTATTTGCTAGCTCAGGTGGCTGGAATGTGATCCTATCCCTCCAGCTTTTATTCAGGATGAGATGATTTTTTATTTTAATAATTGTTAAATAACAGTTCCATTAAAAAAAAAAGATTCATAAATTTTTGTAAGAGTGAATTAAATATCTTTATATTTTGTTTAATAAATCAGCGAATTGGTTTAGTTCCTGTCCCTCCAGCTTTTATGCATTCTCTTTTTATGCTAATTATATTTAAATAGTATTACCCTTCAAAACAATATGTATAAATATGATAATAGTGAATTTAACAAAATTTTGTAAAATTTGCATTATTGATTTCTGCATTTTTAAAATGCATGCACATATATGTGGAAAAAAGAGAAAAGAGCAGATTCAGTATTTTTCAGACAATTGTCTCCTCTTTAAATTGGTCTAGAGGGTTGTCTGTTTCTTTACATAAGCAAATAGTGACAATGTTTTTACCCGTCTGGAATAGGTATTACAATTTCTTTTTTATCCTATTCTTTGCTCTTTTTATAATTCACGGAGGATTTTATGAACTGAAATAACACTATATGCTACACAATAAAGATAGCTCTCTCTTGGCTCGGCTCATTAAATTGGTGAAAAATAACGGATTTGAATTTGAGGCTCCCACTCATATTTTTTTGCTCTTTATCACCTTTAAAACTTCAGACCTGCATTGTACTATAGAATAAAACCATGCATTGGATTCTTTGCTTAATTTTTAATGTTGTACTAAGTGAATCTAAATCTTATTTCCTTTTTAAAAAGGAAATTTAACATTTTTTATTTAATTTATCCCAAGTTAATTACTTGGCCAAATCTATTTTTTAACTTTGGTCAAAGAAGATTCCACTTTCTTGCTTTAGTGGAATCTAATTGACTTAGTCATTTAAAAGATTAAGCATTACTTAAAATAAAATAAATATTGTTCAATGAATTTTTTTTTTTTTTTTAAATGAACAGGTGATGAGAGCCCATTTACATACGATGAAGATACTGGAAAAGGGCCGAAGCACTGGGGTAATATTGAGCCAGAGTGGCAAGTTTGTAATAATGGAAAATTGCAGTCTCCTATTGACCTTTTAAATAAAAGGGTACAAACTTCAAGTAAATTAGGGAAATTGCATAGATGTTACAAGCCAGCTCCTGCAAGTGTAAAGAACAGGGGACATGACATTGCGGTGATTAAACTTAATTCACTTGCTCTCTCATGCATGGTTATTAAAAAAAACGATTAATTCTTTTAAATTATAATAAAATATTTATTAATTTGATTAAATTATTTTTTATAAAATTAAAATAAAATAAGAAAAAATTTATTAGCTACTTCTCGATATTCTTAAAACCACTTGTATCTAAACGACTATTTTGAGCAGGTGATATGGAAAGGAGATGCAGGGAAAATTAAGATCAATGGTACTGATTACAAATTGCAACAATGCCATTGGCATTCTCCTTCAGAGCACACTTTCAATGGTTCAAGGTTTGGTTTCTTCGTAATATATTCTTTTTCTCCCTTATAAAAGTGTTCTAAAATCTCCATTTTGTGTTTATAGGTATGAATTGGAGATTCACTTGGTTCACGAGAGCTCTGAAGGAAAGATTGCTGTTATTGGAATTGTTTACAAATACGGCCGCCATGATCCTTTCCTTTCCAAGGTATTGTGTACATTATAATACATGAGAATGTACAATAGTTGATTCAAGGCAAGGCACTCGTGAATTATTCAAAATTTAGCTTCAAAAAAAGATTCATTCAAGTTCGAACTCAATAAGCCTGCTTTTCAAGCTCAAACTCACGAGTTCACTTTCAAGCTAACAAGCTTGTAAACGAGTTTGAATCTCCAGGATCAAATTATAAATAAGCCTCAATTTTTTTTTTTTTTTTAAATTATAAACTATGAATGAGTAGAGATGAAGTTCATTTACAATAAAACGTTCTAAACTCGAGCTTAGTTTTTTAAACTCGAGCATATAGTTCATGAGTAAAACTCGAACTTAATTTCATTTAGATTTTAGTAGTTTTAATTTATAGACTAACGTTATTCCATTTCTCAGTTATTCCAACACATAAAAAGAACAGTGGAAAAAGAAGAAATAGATTTGGGAATTGTGAACCCAGGAAATATCAGGTTTGGGAGCAGAAAGTATTATAGATATAATGGTTCTCTTACTACTCCTCCATGCACTGAGGGGGTTATTTGGACAATAGTCAAGAAGGTGATAATTTATTTATTTATTTATTTATTTATAATTTCCATGTTGGATTTTTTAAATCCTCTACTGAAGTAAAATACCATTTTTGTTTTGATAGGTGAGGACAGTTTCAAGGGAGCAAGTGAAAGCACTGAGGGATGCTGTTCATGATGTATGCAACCATATTACTCTTTCATAAGTATTTTCATGTTTTGATTGTTGTTCAAAACTAAAAATATTTATAACAACATTTTTATACAAAATTTAATTTCTTAAGAAAAAGTATTTTTTTTAGGAAATGATTTTAAAATATCAAAAATTTTTTTTTTCAAATATCTTATTTTATATGAATTCAACATTCCATGCTTTTTTAGTAACTTCCTTCTTAGACATTAAATAAAAAACGAAAATTTGTACCAGAAAAGCATTATTAGTAAATAAGTTTTTGCTTTTTGCTGATGTTCCATATTAGGGATTTGAGGCAAATGCTAGACCGTCTCAGCCATTAGATGGAAGACCAGTTTACATGTACAGACCAAATGCGAATGGTGCTTCAACCTAAGTCTATAAGAACGAAAAATTACATAAATAAAGAGAGGACCAAATAACTCAATTTCTATGAAATTGAATTTATAAGCGAGAGCTTGTTATTTTCTAGTATTTCTCTTACTCATATTTTGAATAATGTATATATAGCAATTACTTCGAATTGGAATTTGAATTTTCTTTTTCAATGCACAATTCTTTTTTTTTTTTTTTTTTTTTTTTTCTATGAAAATTTTGAATTTATTAAGCGCGAGCTGTTATTTTCTAGTATTCTCTTACTCATATTTTGAATAATGTAATATATAGCAATTACTTCGATTGGAATTTGAATTTTTCTTTTTTTTCATCACAATTCTTTTTTTTTTTTTTTTTTTTTTGGTTTGCAGCAAATTTTTTTCATTTCAGGTGACAGATGACTTAGATATAAAATGTTTTTTTTTTTTTTTTTTTTTTTTTTGGTTGCAAATTTTTTCATTTCAGGTGACAGATGACTTAGATATTAATGTTGTACCAATTACACGGCTTTCATTAACATAAAATACAGAAATATATCAACATACTAAAATATTCTTTAAGCTCTTAAGAAGTTTACAACAAAACTACAAATACTTATTTATACAAGAAGTGAATGGAAATGAACAAGGGAGGAGAACTATCTGCAAAAGCACTGAAGAAATACATAAAATTCAGAGTCCAAACTGTTGAACTTTCGATTTTCATCCTACGCTATGAGGAATGGCAAAACAGTTAACATGAAAGCCTCATAAGTGAAAGTTGCTGAACCAGAGTATGTAGCGTCTTTCTCCTTGAATTTCTCAGTCAGCCCCTGAAAGGAAATTGTCATGAACATTAAAATGCAGAACACCCTCCAATAAGTCTATTGAAATTGGCTCTGTGTCAATGGAATCTCATCATCCATACATAATTAATTGGTGTGGTATATTCATATCATAACATATGAACAGTAAGAACTAGCATTGATAAGATCAGATAAGTCTTAGAGTATAAACTCTTAATCTTAATTCAAACATTGAAATTGTTGTATAAACGCGACAATTCTAGATAACCCAAAATTTTTTTTCTCATTCTGTTGTTAAAATAAAGCATAGAAACAATTTTTTTATGAAAATGCAATATTACAAGCAGCCTTAATTTTAAAATACTTTCTTAAATTACAATCTACAAACACCAGTGCTCTTCCCAAGAAACCAGAATGGAAACTGGATTTGAATCTGTGGTCAAGCCAATGGCTAGAGAAGAAGACATTATATATTAAGGGATTTCTTATATATTAATACCGCACTTGCACAAAATGTCATGGAAAAAAATCAAAAATTTACAACTCCCGTTATTTTTATACCATGCTAGAGTTCACTGAGGCATTCATCGTGCAGAATAATCTCAAGTTGAGTTGCATATAACTTCATGCAATTTAGCTAATCATAAATGAAAAGGCACAGCCACTTAACCATGCATCCAATAAATGCAAAAGAAAGTAGTAATACTAAAGTAAAGAGCTCACCTTGACAGTAAGACAGCACCTGGGTTTACAAGGGAGAGAGAACAAAAAAAAGAAAAACAAAAAATTAGCTTGGTATGCACATTAAAATTAAATAGTATTAATAATAATAATCATAATTCCCAATGTTTAAAAATCCCGAATATTGATCAAATGAAAAGAGACATACTCAATGAAATTGTCATATTCGATGGCCCTGGCTTTCCCTCCAGTTTTATCAAACTTAGAGACGAGCAAATCCAAGACGACAGGCGAAACAGCAAATCCTAAACTCAATAGTGCCTCCCTCAGCTCGTTAGGATCAATCCTGCCACTCCTATCCCTATCAAATCTTTCAAAAATGGCCTGCATATAAAAATCCCATATGGAATCAAATAATGCATACAAAAATTGGCAAATAATAACAAAAATCATTCAAAACCAAAACTTACCCTCCAGTTCTGAAGACTGTAAAACACTTGAGTGAATTCCTTCGGCCCTGAATTAAATTTTCAAATTTTAAAATCTTTTACAGCCAAAATCAAAGTTTAAATAAACAAATCAGTAAATATTAAATAGCAAAGACTTTTCAAACAAACTCCGCGTCAAAAATAAATACGAACAAAGTGGGCCCAGAGTTAGTGACCTAACTAAAGAACTTAATGTTTAAATTATAAAAAAAAAAAAAAATCAGAGATTTATAAGGCGCTTCCACGTGTATTATGCTCGGATGAATCCAAAAGCCACATCAATTCAAGCGTAATTAAGCAACCGACGGTCCGACGCCATACTGGTTACTCTAGTCTATCCTCAACACTCGGCACAAATTAGAAACTAGTAACAATTTTATGCTAAATTGCGCGCTCCAAAATGAAATGGAAAGGGAAACTGGAAATGAAAGGGGAAAAAATTTGAAATCTTACCGATCTTTCTTGTGTTGGTGTTGGTGAAGTGGTACATGAGAAGATGAACGGTCCTCAAACTGAAGCTCTGATTATAAGTCGATAGAGCTCTCTGCAACTCCTTATCGTCGATAAATCCGCTACCGTCTTGATCGGCGAGTTGAAAGCACGCGACGACGTTGGGATCCGTGCCTGGAGGGAAAGCCGAGGGCATTAGGGAGGCGAATGGGCTACCATAAGCAGCCGACGGTGGGTAGCTGCCCGGAGCAGAGGAGTGAGGCTTGTCCTTTGGGGGCTTGTCGCCTGGAGGGTGTGCGTAGGGAGCCCCGTAAGGAGCTGATGGACCGCCGTAAGGCTGAGTTGGTGGTTGCGCACCGTAAGGTGGAGCGGCGCCGTAAGGTTGCGGTGGCGATGGAGAGGCGCCGTATGGTTGCTGTGGCGCGCCGTAGCCGTAACTGGGTGGTTGATGGGGATAGCCAGACATTATGAGGAAGAAACTGAATGAAACAACGGTAATTTTCTTATTGGTTGTGAGATATTAATTTTGCAGTGGATGGTTCCGATTTATAAGTTGTGGACAAGTACAAAATTAGTGTATTCGATGCTGAGTTTTTACGAATATATCTGGTTTCGCTTAAACGTTATTTTGAATCTTATACAACCTTTTCTCTCTTGGGTAAAAAAAACTCTGCTTATTTATAGAAAAAGTTTTTTTTTATTTTTATTTTTTATTTCTTAATAAATTAATTTTTTAAAAAAATAAAAATAAAAAGTAGAAAATGAAAAAATGCCTTCACGTTGATAATAACAAAAAATTATATTTTAATTTAATTTTATAGACTTTATTTATAACTTTTATAATTAAAAAAAATAAAATAGTATAAAATGAATTTAGAAATTTTGTATGTAAACGGTTTTGGATTTTTACAATTGATTATTTACAATAATATCATTTTCTATCATTTTTGTATAATTTTTAAAAAATAAAATATATAATATATTTGTAACAATAAAATTAATTATTTATTAAAGAATAATATAAAATCTTATTTTACTTAAATATTTTTATTTTTTCAAATGAAAATATTTTATACAAAAAATTATCTTTAAATATTATAATTTTAATTATGAAAATTTTCCTAAGGATTTTTTCCAATAGAAATAAGAGAACGAAGTAACTAGAGAAGATTATAAAATCCCACTCATTGCTAGAGGGATCATCTAGATAAGCGCCTTGTTTGAATACATTTAAGACATGAAAAGCTTGACATAGATGTTAATGCGGTCAATTTTTTTTTTCGCATCGCCCTTATAGCTGGATAGCTGGAAAATTTTCCAGATTCATAAAGGAGCCGCAATGAAACCAAAGTTTCCTGTTTCGGTTTTTGGAATTAGAGACGTAATTAAAGATCGATGAATCAACGTCGACTTACCCCTAGCCTTCCAAGGCTAGCGATGGCGGGTTCGATTCCCGCTATCCGCTTCATACCCTATACTCTCTAAAAATAGAGATCCTATTTATTCCCTAAATTTATATATAAAAATTTATTATAATAATAAATATTTAAATATATAAATAATATTTAAATATTTTATATATAATAATATATTCTAAATATATATTAAATATATAATTAATATAATTATTAATATTATAATAAATATAATAATTAATATTTAATTAATATATAAATTAATTAAATATCATAATAATAATTAAAGAAATTTAAAATATAATAATTCAATTTTAAATATATAAATATTTAAAATATATAAATTATAATAAAGATTAAATAATAAAGATTAAAGAAATATAAATATAATAATAAATAAAATAATTATAGAAATAGAAATAATTATAGAAGATAGAAGAATTAATCCATCCATTTTAATTTATTACCATAATTTAATTATTAATTATTCAATTTAATTATTAATAATAATTAATAAAAAAAAAAAAAATAATAAAAATAATAATAAATGAAATATATAAAATAATATATATATATATAATTATAATATAAAATATATTTATAAAATATAATAAAATAATAAATATATAAAAAATATATAAAATAAAATATATATTTATATAATAAAAAATATATATAATTATATATATATAAATAATATATATATAATTAATAAAATATATATATATGGGAATAAAATATATATATATGGAATTTTCCTAAAAATATTTGTCATTTTTTTTTTTTTTTTTATTATGAAGAACAAATACAAATAGAAAAAGAAAAGAAAAATTGGAATAGAAAAGCGTCCATTGTCCCTAAATGGATAGACAGAGGTCTTCCTAAACCTTTGGTATAGGTTTCAATCCTATTGGACGCATTTTTTTCCATAATATTTTTTCCATAATAATAATATCATCACATAATATCATAATATATATATATAATTCCTATATAGAATATTTCTATATTAATTTTCCTCTATTATATATTTCTCTATTTAATAATATTTTCTATTTCTATATTTATTTTATATATTTTTAATATTATTTTATATATTTTCATTTTTTTTTTTTCATTTTTATTTTTAAAAATTTTAATAATTTTTAATCTTAATATATAATTTATAATAATATAATTTTTAATAATATATAACTATATTAAATTTTATATTATATTTAAATTTAATTTATTAATAGATATATATTTCTAATTTATTAATATTCTAATTATAGAATAATTATTATTTAGATAATTAATAATTATAGAATAATTAAAAATAAGAATATTTAATTAATAGTATCTTCTAATTTCCTAATAAGTCTATAAAGTACTATGAATAAAATATAGAATTAGAAATAAATAAAAATAAAAGATATGGATAGGACAGAGGTCTTCTAAACCTTTGGTATAGGTTCAAATCCTATTGGACGCAATTTTGAATCGATTTCTCTATATTCCATTAAGTTAGAATTTTCTATTTATAATTGTTCCTGAAGTCGAAAACGTTCCATTTGGTCCTGAATAGCGTCTTTCAAAAGCGTTTCCGCTTCCTCAGTGAATGTCTTGGTAGAAGATATGATTTCTTGGAACTGAGGTTTATTCGTTTTTAAGTAAGTACGTAACTCAACGAGAAATTTCCTTACTTGTCCAATTTCTAATGAATCAAGATAACCATTCGTTCCGGTATAAATAGTACTTATCTGTTCTGCCACCGTAAGAGGAGCTGATTGGGATTGTTTAAGCAACTCACGTAATCGTTGACCTCGTGCCAATTGATTCTGAGTAGCTTTATCGAGATCAGAAGCAAATTGTGCAAAGGCTTCTAATTCGGCGAATTGGGCCAATTCCAATTTTGATTTACCAGCGACTTGTTTCATAGCTTTAATTTGAGCCGCCGATCCTACTCTGGAGACGGAAATCCCCACATTAATAGCAGGTCTGATTCCAGCATTGAATAGATCGGCGGATAAGAATATTTGTCCATCTGTAATGGAAATCACATTAGTAGGAATATACGCCGAAACGTCTCCCGACTGGGTCTCAACTATTGGTAAAGCAGTCATACTTCCTTCACCTAACTGAGAACTTGATTTAGCGGCTCTTTCTAAAAGGCGCGAATGCAAATAAAAAACATCTACATCTCCTGGATAAGCTTCACGACCCGGCGGTCTTCGTAATAGAAGAGACATTTGGCGATAAGCCTGTGCTTGCTTGGAAAGATCATCATAAATGATTAAGGTGTGTCGTTCACGATACATAAAATATTCAGCCAAAGCAGCTCCTGTATAAGGAGCGAGGTATTGTAATGTAGCTGGGGAATCCGCCGTTTCGGCTACCACAATGGTGTACTCCATCGCTCCCCTTTCTTGGAAAGTGGTCACTACCTGAGCCACAGAAGATGCTTTTTGACCAATAGCTACATAAACACATATTACATTTTGCCCTTGCTGATTGAGAATCGTATCCGTGGCTACTGCTGTTTTACCGGTCTGTCTATCCCCAATAATTAATTCTCGCTGACCACGTCCTATAGGGATCATCGAATCAATAGCAATAAGTCCTGTTTGAAGAGGCTCATAAACGGAACGTCTCGAAATAATACCTGGGGCAGGAGATTCAATTAACCGAGATTCAGAAGCTGAAATTTCACCCCGACCGTCAATAGGCTTAGCCAGGGCATTTATAACACGACCCAAATAAGCCTCACTCACTGGTATCTGAGCAATTTTTCCTGTTGCTTTTACAGAACTTCCCTCTTGTATCATCAAACCATCACCCATTAATACAACACCAACATTATTTGATTCCAAATTGAGAGCAATGCCTATTGTACCCTCTTCTCAAACTCCTACTAATCCGCTGCCATTACTTCATCAAGAAGACCATGAAACGAGCAATACCGTCGCCTACCTTGAATACAAGTAGCCCGGTATTTACAATCTTTACTTCCATTATATTGTTCAATCGTTCGCGGATAATATTACAATGCTCGTCGGCTCGAAAGTTACCATGAGTAATTCCTTCATTTTTTTTTTTTTTTTTTTTGGGGGGGGGGAATAATGCTACGTAGAAGGACTAATCAGAATTTCTTTAATCGCCCCAAATCCAAGATTTGCATTGGATGGTACGTAAAATGTAACTCGTTTTGGTCAAAGAACTATTTCAAGTTCCTAGAGCTCCTTGTAAGGCTTGTTGGAAACGTTGGTCGGACTGATTAATCGTTCTTTGTTTGTTCAAAATGAATGGTTCGTTTTGGGTAATTTTCTAATTTTTCTAAAGTCTTAGAAGTTGAATTAATCAAATTCGATTTTTCTCGTTCTTTCTCACTTTCCGTAAGCGGGCCCGGGCCTTTTCCAGCCGTTCAATAGCCCCCCCGCGTAGTTCTTCTGAATTTCGAATAGTATTCAAGATCCTCTCTTTTCGATTATCTAATAAATCACTTAATGAAAGTAGATTATCTTTCCATTCATTTTTTTTTATTTCAAAAATTCCATGATCCCTTCCCGAACCAAACATGAACCTTTCGATTCATTTGGCTCTCACGCTCAATTATTTCTTATTTATTGGGAATTAATTCCCAATATCTTTTTTTTCTAATGTAATGAGCTTACCCTCTCCCTCTCGTCTCTATTCATATTCCAAAATATCGAAACTGATTACTAATCCAAGACCAGAATATTCGGAGGATTCTTCTGACCAAAATAGAAAATATATCAAAAAACTAAAAAGTATAATAAAAAAATAATAAATAAAAAAGTTACATATAATTTGGAATTTCTAATTGTACTTAGAATTGTATAATGTATAATTGTAATTTGTCAGCAAAGTTGTTTCTTTTTTTTCTTCAAATTCAAAGAATTCTTCTCCCTTTATACATAGGTCATCGATTCAGCATTGGAAAAAGGGGCTCAAATCGTTTTATCGACATGAGTGTTTTATATCGAAAAAACATTTTTGTTTTGAAAATATTTCTGTATTTAGTAACATAGTAGTAGAAAGAGTACCCTGCTGCATCTGAACTTCAAACGGGTTTGGCCTTAACCATGTTAATGGTCCCAGATTATTGGTTAATAGAGAATCAAAGTCGATGTACCAATGAATCACGAAATGCTATGGTTCTATAATATGATTTTAAAAATTTATTCAGAAGTAATTCGCGGGATCATGCACTCTTTTCTTTCCTAGTTATAATGAAAAAAAGTACAACTGGGTGAATCCAGCCTATTCTTGAAATAAACAACTCGCACACACTCCCTTTCCAAAAAAGATCAATACACCAAGGACTACACTTAGATTTATTGGATTTGTTGCTAAAATATCGGTATTAACCCCGAAACTCCCGGCGGATGGCCAGTGACCCCCAGTGACGCCAAGGAAACGAAGAATCTGGTTACGTTTTTCCTCCTCTTTTCTTATAGACTATAGACAGACTAATTATTATCTTCGCGGCGCATGTTCAAGTCTTCTATGCCATAACCAACTAGAATTATCAATAGAAACTAAACATATAAACATATGTATAGGTTATGCATATCAGAGAGATCTTCTCAAATCTTTTTCCAACAAGTTTTATTATCATGCATGTTCTGAACTTCATAAAGAGGGTTCAAAGATCACTCTTCTATTTTTATCACAAATCTGACTAATGTAATCCTTCTACTAAGCATATATCTTCTATTGAAGGATTAGAACCTACTATACCAATATCAACGATTTTACCTTTTGCATTGTCTCCAAAGAATAGATGGCTTTTAGTCACGATATCCACTCCTTTGAACTCTCACTTATTTTTATTTTCTTGTTAAAAATCTATTTCATTTTCTCCTATTCCTTCAATCATGGGTTTTACCCACCCAGTTTTTCCAAACACTTAATTGATTCTATTCTAGTAAATATATAAGTTTTTGCTTACTATTTATTCTTCATTTGTGATCAGAAATGATCAAATGCTAGTTCAGAGAATCGTCAATCGTGTTTCAGAGATATTAAGTCATATGCCTTCAAATGCTGGTTACCATGACAAGTTAGTTGGAATCGATTGGCGTGCGGAGAAAGTGAAATTGTTATTGGACACTGATGTAGATGATAGAAATTGGACAATAGGAATTTGGGGAATGGCTGGTATTGGAAAGACAACTCTTGCTGGTATAGTATTTACCGAAATCAAGGCTAAATTTGATGCCCACTTCTTTGTTTCAAATGTGAAGGAACAGATACGAAAGGAAACAAGAATTGTTTTACGGGATAAAATGATTAGTTCACTACTGGGAGACGAAAATTTAAAAATAGGCACACCTCTTTTAGTTTTAGATGACTGGATTATGAGAAGGCTGCAACGGAAGAAAGTTCTTATTGTTTTTGATGACGTTGATGATTCAAACGATTTAGATCTTTTAGCTGGAAACTGTAGTTTGTACCGTAAGATTTTCATCAGTCGAAGTAATTAAAAATTCGACCCATTGAAATAGAAATATACTATTATTGATCATCAGAACTACTTCGAATCTATTTTTTAGTCCTATCCACAAAGTTTTTGTGAATTTCAATACAAATTTTTTTGTTTTTCCATTTCTTTCTTGGTTCCGAATTATTCTTTGAATTCAAACTCTTCGTTCTTTTTCTTTGAATTTAATCTCTTTTATCTCAATATTCATTCACAGTTACAAACGAAGGAAAGATTTTTATTGCGAATCTCTTATCTAAATCTCCAGTAGTAGGGCGGATTAGATATAATCTTTTTAACTCATATCATATATACTGGGTAATACTTAACATTACATATACACGCTTCTTCCAAAACGTAAACCAACTATTCATAATCTTACGATTCAATCGGATTCTAAAATCAATTTTTTGATTTTGAAAAATATTCACAAAAAGAAAGTTGTCTTATAGGCCCTTTTTTTCCTAATCATTTTTTTTTATATCGTTTTTTGTAATGTAAATTCGTCTCTTCCTTTTATTTTTTATTTAGCATTATCTCACATGGATACAATCTAAATGGACGAATTCATTAGACCAAATCATTGCATACAAATAAAACATCAATATCAGTATTTGATTGAGCTAAGTTCATGCAATTTATTTTATTATTTATGAAAAAAAAAAAATTTCTTTTGGTCAATCATTGAATTGAATGAAGAAATCGACTGAAATGGGAATCATTCTATATCTATATAAAGAACAGCTTTTTTAAAATCATAGACCCTAAATTGATACCATAAGAATTCCTATTCTAATTAGGACTCATAATATTGAAATTGAATAAACAAAAACAATATCAAGATAAAGATAATATTGATCGGATAATATTGATCGAAGGTAAATATGATATAAATATAAGTAATAAAAAAAATGGAC